TTCTAGACTCTCCTTTGATCCCCATTTCAAAAGGGGGATCCCGGACCGGAGGGTTCCAGTTTTTTCCAGAGAGCTCCTCTCTGGAGTTGCTGGCAGCACCGCAACAAAGCCCTGCCTCCAGAAAAAAGCGCAGTAAGTGGAATTGATGGCTACAGTCCTATACTCACCTGGGACTAATCTGCATTAAAATCAGTAGGACTCACTTCTAAATAGGTACATATCCTTCTGTGTTGGACTTCCACAGTTTTTTAAAATAAGCATAAGTTGGTATTTGTAGTATCCCTTCAAAATCAGTATTTAGGCACTGTATGTAAAAAAACAAATTAAGAGGTAGCATTTTATTTTGAACCAGGCAGATGGAAATTATTTTAATCCTATAAATATAATATTAATAAAACCAGTTGAACTTTTTATGAAACAAGCAGCATCTATTTCTCAATGAGGCAATGATCTTTCATGAAGAGAACCAGAAGTGGGAAAAATGTCTCATATACAGCATATATGCAAGTCTTGTGTCACAATCTACTGTAGTCCAAACCAAATCACTGCTAAGTGGGAATTTAAATCCAGATCTGCAATTCTGTCTCCTTAGTTTTTTAATACTGGCTAGTTTTCAATCCTGAACAGGAATGAGTTAAATCTCACTCTTTTCATTAGAAACCTGAGAAATTAGCATATCAAGTAAATCAACAAACTGTTATTATGGTGCCAGTTTTTGTGAACTAGAACAAGACTGGTGAATATATAGTCCTCCAGCTGATGACAGACCACCACTTTCACTATTAGCTGTCAGTTTGGGAACTGCAATCCAGTATGTGGGAGGCACACACTTTTCCAGGTATGGACTAGAGTCAACTCCATGAAATTAATTATCAGGATGCTGGGGGGCAAAGAACAATGAAAGGATCTCTTTTTTTATGTCATGCACATAACGAAGAGAGCTTTAGTTTGTGAAGCTGCATGTGTTGCCACTAGAGCTTTATAAACCCTTTACTATTTAATGTATTTTTCGCTCCATAAGACGCACCTCTCCATAAGATGCACTAAATTTTTAGGAGAAGAAAACAGGAAAAATAATCTGTTTTCTTCTCCTAAAAATTGGTGAGCCTTATGGAGAGGTCCATCTTATGGAACACCCCCTAGGATCCTTTGGAGGCTCACCCTGCCCCCCTGGGGGTCAGAGGGGGTAAAATTGCCACCTTCTGGGACTCTTCTGAGGCATCCCAAGCCTCAAAAGAGTCCCAGAAGGTGGCAATTTTACCCCCTCTGACCCCGGGGGGACAGGGTGAGTCTCTAAAGGGTCGTGGCCGAAATCGCTAGCTTCTAGGACCTTTTCTGAATCTTTAAAGCCTCAGAAAAGTCTTAGAAGCTGGCGATTTCCCCCCCGCTAGCCCCATGGAGGGGTGGGGGGAGCGTGGCAGGGGTCCTAGAAGGCTCCCTCGGACCCTTGCAAGGCTCCCCCCCGGGGCTCACCAATTTTTAGGAGAAGAAAACAGGAAAAATAATCTGTTTTCTTCTCCTAAAAATTGGTGAGCCTTATGGAGAGGTCCATCTTATGGAACACCCCCTAGGATCCTTTGGAGGCTCACCCTGCCCCCCTGGGGGTCAGAGGGGGTAAAATTGCCACCTTCTGGGACTCTTCTGAGGCATCCCAAGCCTCAAAAGAGTCCCAGAAGGTGGCAATTTTACCCCCTCTGACCCCGGGGGGACAGGGTGAGTCTCTAAAGGGTCGTGGCCGAAATCGCTAGCTTCTAGGACCTTTTCTGAATCTTTAAAGCCTCAGAAAAGTCTTAGAAGCTGGCGATTTCCCCCCCGCTAGCCCCATGGAGGGGTGGGGGGAGCGTGGCAGGGGTCCTAGAAGGCTCCCTCGGACCCTTGCAAGGCTCCCCCCCGGGGCTCACCAATTTTTAGGAGAAGAAAACAGGAAAAATAATCTGTTTTCTTCTCCTAAAAATTGGTGAGCCTTATGGAGAGGTCCATCTTATGGAACACCCCCTAGGATCCTTTGGAGGCTCACCCTGCCCCCCTGGGGGTCAGAGGGGGTGAAATCGCCAGCTTCTAGGACTTTGCTGAGGCTTTAAAGGTTCAGAAAAGGTCCTAGAAGCTAGCGATTTCGGCCATGCTGTACCCGTGGGGGGAGCCTTGCAAGGGTCCTAGAAGGCTCCCCCACCCCTCCATGGGGCTAGCGGGGGTGAAATCGCCAGCTTCTGGGAGTCTTTTGAGGCTTGGGAAGCCTCAAAAGACTCAGCGCTGGATCCGTGCGGGGGTGGGAGGAGTGTCGCAAGGGTCCGAGTGAGCCTTCCACGACCTTTGCGACGCTCCCCCCACTTGGAAGCTGGCAATTTCGCCGGCGCTGACCCCCGTGGGGGGGCATCACAAGGGTCCTGGAAGGCTCACCCGGACCCTTGCGACGCTCCCTCCCACGGGGCCAGCGGGGACGAAATTGCTGCCTTCGCTCCATTAGACGCAGGGACTTTCCCACCCATATTCTGGGGGGGGAGTGCGTCTTATGGAGCAAAAAATACGGTATATGGAAATAAGGCCCACCAAACTCCAAAGAACTTATTTTTCAAATGCACACTTTTATCCGGATTTTGGAAGAAATTCACTTTTTCTAACAAGTTACCTTTTTCCCAAAGAACCTGAAGCAAAAGAACTTTTTTGTCTGTCCTGCCCACATCTGCAGTACATAGTAGAGACAGAACTAGGTGATTGCCTGTTATTTTATCTCTTTTATTTCCATTTCCAAAATGCACTTCAAAATACAGTACAGTAAATCAAACTCTTTAATCTCTCTCCCTAGTCTGTACAACAATCCAGTTTAAACATCCAGTGTGCTGCACTGGGTTGTTGTTAAGGGCTGCTTTCAAATCCTATTATGCACGCTGGGAGTAGCAAGACATGAACCTATTGGATTCAATGAACTTAATTTCTAATTAAATTTATAATTTTAGTCCTAAATTTTTTATTTAGTATAATGATTTTTTTTACAAAGACTGACTAGCTCTAGCACACAAGGTTGATGTCTTCTCAGCTAGCAGTCTTTTACTGTCAAGAAACATATTGATGTTTGCAGGGTACCGGTGTCATAAAAAACCAGTATTTCTTTGTTAATTTGTTATTTAATGTGTTCATGTTCCTAACCTTGTGTTCGCCATTCCTTACCGGTATACATTTTCTGAGGGGGAACCAAATATAGTATTTTCTGCATTTTTCATTCGTGCGCCACCTCTACCGTTAAGAATAAGGGCTTGAGGGCCCAATTTTCCATGCTCTGCTTTTACCGGGTACATCCGTAACCGTTTAGCGAGATTCTTCGCCTGACTGTTTTACGACGACGCCTCTCCCTCAGTCCGAGGTATTTCTAGTTAAGTTGCTGCATCCTTCTGGCAGATATAGCCCCGTTCTCTGCTCCCCTCAGTTGAGAGGATGTTTCTAAACGCGGAGTGTAAGGCCGATGGAAGGGGTGGGGCCACAGCGCTGCCGTCTCACCCCCTCTAAAAAGCCATTCCATTTGGCAAGGAAAGACGCCCGCTTCCGGCCGAGACCTTCCCTCCCTGTTTCCACTCCGAGACCTGGAGATGGCGGCGTCACCAGGCCGCGGAACCACCCCTTCCCCTCGGTGCCGGCGTTGCGATTGGTCGCCCGAAAACGTGCCGGAAAGGCTCCTCGTCATTTCCGGGCGAGCCGCCATCTTGTCGGCAGTTGGCGGCGCTTGTTCGGCTGGGTTCAAGCTGGGAGGCTTCCGCCCGCCTTGCTCCGGTGGGCCCGCTGTTTTCGGCGCAAACAGACCGTTCGTGGCCGGCGGCGCCATGGCCAACAACTGTCCGGTGGTGGGCGCCGGCAACTGCCACCCGCCGCCGCACCAGCCGCCGCCGCACCAGGCGGCCCAGGTGCCGAACCCGCAGGCCGGAGCCGTCGTGCTGTCGCCCCCTCTGCCCCTCCAGAGCGCGGGCCCCAAGCCGGCCGCCTCGGGCAAGCAAGGCAACGTCCTCCCTCTGTGGGGGAACGAGAAGACCATGAACCTCAACCCCATGATCCTCACCAACATCCTCTCCTCGCCTTACTTCAAAGTGCAGCTCTACGAGCTCAAGACGTACCACGAGGTGGTCGACGAGATTTACTTCAAGGTGAGCGGGCGCCGCGGGAAGGAAGGCCTCAGGAGGACGTGGTGAAAGCAGAGGGGAGATCGCGGGTTCTCGGCGTTGCCTCCCCGGTTCGGCCGCCCCGCCTTCAAGCATCGTCTCACCACTATCCGTGCCCTCAAATAGAGCTGTGGTTCCCCAGATGGTTTGGCCTCCTTCCATCCTTTCCCGCACAGCCAACAGTAAGGAATGAGGGAGTAGGGTTTTATTTTCCCCGTCATGGTGTTTTTTTTGTTTTTGCGAGGGCCCAAGGCTCCTCCGCGACTGTCCTACAAAAATGCGCCCTTTCCCTTAAAGATAAGAATTTGTGGGCCACAAAACCCGTGGCGAGGCCTTCACCACGTGTCTTGCCATGCTGTCCAGAGCGGCCGATGGGACTGTCGGGAGAGGGTAGGCTTTCAGCAAGAAGTGGGTACAAAGTTCTGCGCTTGAGCCAAACCGATTCAAATTTCCGTTCTTTGGGGGGAGGGAGATTTTTTCGACTTTTAATCAAATTACCCAGTGAGGAGGTGAGGGGTGATGAATTAGCCGTAACGCTACTCTCCCCCACCAGAACACTGTAAGCCTTTGGTTCAGTATGAAATTGTATTGCCAGCCTCTGCTCTTGTACTCTTTGTGTGTTTTTAAAATGAACAAGAAATAAGAACTTTGGAAAGTGGTGGGTTTTTTTTAGTCCTGGTGCTTTAAAAAGCCTTTCCAAATCCTTTTTTATACAGAGCATTATATTTATTTTCTCTTTTCTCCACCCAAAAAGATGCAAAACAGTTTCTCAAACCTATACCCAGGGGCACCAAAGTGCTGGCAGACACTTCTCTTAGCACCAGCTAGAGTTGTTACCCTTGCTGATTTTGTATATATTAATTTTTTCAACTTAAAAAATAAAAAGGAGGAGTGGACTGTTGATCTGCACAATCTGTTTCCACTAATGGGATCTGAGAAACATTTTTGAAAATTTAAATTGGTGAGCAACTGTAGTTCAGCACTATTTTGAGGGACACCTACATGAAAGCAAAAGATAATGGTGGTAGGGATGGTAATGGAGACTTTCTTGGGTGCAAGAACGTAGAGATAGTGGTAAGAGTACCATGGTGAGGTCTAAAGGGAATTTGGCTTGTGCTGTGTGAATATGTGTATTTTTCTTGTTTATTGTTTTGTTTGGAGAGTGTTAGCTTGTTTATTTTGCTGTGATGTACAACCGCTCACAGTATTCATCTGGGAGATCAGTACTGAAAGTGAATGTTCTGCCTAAATTTCTGAGTATGCTGCTTTGAACATTACCAGTTTGCTCTCCATTGAAAGAGTATTTTGTTCTTTCTGGGCAGATAGATGATTTGACAATTGGTGCCTTCCACCTTTGCTTACTTATTAACAGTTTTTAAAACTAAATTTGTTTGAACCTTGTTTGCCTCTTAACCCTTCTTATGTGTTCATGAAATGTCTGTAATGACATGTAAGGAGGGGTGCATTTCCTTTCCACTGATTTCCCTTTCCATTGACTGTCTAAAGAAAGGATCCTTGATTACATAGAAAGGAGTTTCACAGTCTGTCACATTTCTTTTTAGTTTATCATTTTGGAGAGTGCAAATTGAACACTTTCCTACTTATGTTTCTTTAAATATCATCTTGAACATATGAATAGGGTTTATTTGAAGTAAGTGTTAGAGCTGAAAGCTGTGGCTACAGAAGACTTTTGGGTTTTAGACTTCACTTCTACTTTGTCCTTATGTTTCCAGGCCTCATTTGTTTGCCTTATTTAAAATGGGTACTGGTAGCCATTTTTGTATGAGCATCCATGACACAATCAAAATTGTATCAGTTAGCCTAAAAAGTTGGAGACCCTGGTCTAAAATGATACATGACTGAAGTATTTATGTGCTACATTTGTATCCCATCTTCTGTGGAGTTCAAGCTAGAGTATACAGTATCATTCTCCCTGATCTTACCTTTTCAACTGCTTAGTGTGGGAAGTTGGATTGAGAGATGGTAACTGAGTTTTGGATCACTAGTGATCTTATTGACTGAATGAGGATTTGATTTCTCCCTGATCTTACCTTTTCAACAGCTTAGTGTGGGAAGTTGGATTGAGTGATCTTATTGACTGAATGAGGATTTGAGCCTAACTCTACATGGTGTTAATCTAACACTAGGATCACTCTACCAGAAATATACTGTGAAGTTTTCTACCAGCACAGAATGTTATGGCTTTATTGCAACTCATTGTTCTAATTTAAGTTAATAATGTTTCACAGTTCAAAATGAGATGCTAATGTCCTGTGCATTTTTGATGCTGTGAGTGGAATCTATTGAGTTTTTGCAATGTGGGTTTCATTTAGTATTCAGCAACAAGGAAAATAAAATCTTGCAACCTGGGATATTTTCTATCAGCTAGTTTTCTTACTTTATGTAAGATAGTTACAGCTTTGAAACAAAGGTGGAAAGATTCCGGGTGTAGGGAATCATGTGTGGAGCCTGCAAACTCTTTGAAACTGGCTTGCTCCTCACCTTCCTGCCAGTACTGAGCCACTGGTCTTTTTCAGTGAATGTGTGTGTTTGAATCTGAGTAAGTACACAAGGATAGACCTGAAGTCTGCATTGTGTATGTTGTCCTTATGATCACGTACACAACACAATATGAAATATGAGCTATTTGCCATCAAAGGTTATAGTCACATTTTAAAATAGTATAAATGTTATTATTATTCCAGCTTAACTTCAAAAGTAGTTCGGGAAAGAACTTGATATGGACTAAATCTGCAATCCTGTACACTTACCTGGGAATAAACTTTGTTGAAATTAATGGACTATAGTTCTGAATAGGCTTGAAACAAGATTACATTGGCAGTCTTCTTTGCAACCTAAGTAGAAATTCAATGGATTCTTAAATATACTTAGCTCTGTGCTAAAATTAGGCTCTCCCACTTCCATTTTCTGAAATCTTTTCTTTAGTACAAGAGACAAGGAAGTCTTTACCCTTTGGATTGAATATAGTTGAATGAATTAATGAATTTATTTATTATGGTTGCATGACCACCTCATAAAACATATGGCTAAAATATACAAAATGCAATTTAAAAAGTGTACAACAGATAATTAATTGTATACTAGTTGTAATATATAGGGAGAATCAGTTACAGAATTGTTAGTTATCTTTTGAACCATTGGATAGTCTACGGCAGTGATGGCGAACCTATGGCACATGTGCCACAGCTGGCACACAGTGCCCTCTCTGTGGGCACATGAGCCATAAGTCGCTGGATCACTACTACTACTCCCCCCCTGCAGCCAAAGCTGAGAAGGCGGCCATATGGAGTCCTTCCTACATATTTGTAAACATTTCATCCCTTTGGTTGGGGCCACAAAATTTCTCTACGCTCAACAGTAAACCTTGGAAAACCCTGAAAAGGGTCACAAGTCAGAATTGATTTGATGGTACATGATTATTATTAAAAGTTGCAAGCCTAGCTATTTAAATAGGTGTCATTTTCAAGCTTTATTTTGATTTAAATAGGTTAGTCATATTTTAAAATAAAATAAATTTTATTTTTTCTTATAGTTTAACTTCAAAAGTGGTTTGGGAAATCCTCTCAATAGAATCTTCTCATTATGAGGTAGAGTCCAAGACATTCCAAGAAGATCTGGTGAAGAATTAAATTATTGTCCAGTACAGGTGGACATAATGAGGGTCCAGCCCACCTTCTGCTGTTGCCTCAAGCTCTGTGCTCCCTTCTGGAACTCGCGGTCTGCAAGCCAATCCTGGCAGGAGGTGGGAAGCTGAGCCTCACTTCAAGGTTGAAGATTAGCTCGCAGACCACGAGCTTTGGAACAATAGGAAAGTAGTGCGGAGCTTGCGGCAACAGCAGAAGGTGAGTGGACGGTCTGGCCCCAGGGGCTGGACCCTCGTTATGTCCACCTATGCGGGGATAGTCGAATACGAATACCCCATCTCTATTGTCCACCTGTCAGCTAAGGACTGTTTCAGTTGCAGATTCTTCAAATATCCCTATCTGATGCTAGCTTTCTGTTTGTTTAAGCAGTCACTTCAGTTTGAAGGTGGATTGATTTAATGCATTATTTAGATTTTTTTCATCAGTATGAAAACTTGGTTGTAAATTGTTAAATAGCCATTATAGTGTGTTAATATACAACGGAAGGACAGAAGAGTAGCAGCATTATTATTTTTTCTTATGAAGGGTTTATCCTTTTATACTGCTGTGTTCTCTCTGATTCAAGAGGAATAGAGAAATTCTGAAATTATATTTGTATGTGAACTCAATAGTTTAACTAGGCACAGACAAGGCCTGTCTGATTCCAGAATGGACTCTGAGGACGGGCTATTAAGATATGATTTATTCTTTTTTAAAAGGCAGTTGTGAGCCAAAGTTTAGCCTTTTTTGTGCTCCTGGTAGCATCATCAAGACTGGGCTGGAGCCCAAGTTTCTCCTCAAGACCCATCACTGCCTCCAAACATATTATGTAGTGCTGCTAGTTCTGTATCAGCATCATGGCATAGAAAATACACTAGTAATCGAGTGAGCCAGCTATAACCTCCTTCAGCAGCAGTTGGTTAAACTGGTGTACTGCAGCTAAAACTGTGCTCATGACCTGGGATTCAATCCCAGGTAGCCGGCTGAAGGGTGACTCATCATTCCTAATGTGTAGCCTGCATAACTAACTTGAAAACTGCCCAGAGGGTGCTTGAAGCGCTTATGGGCACACTATATAAGCAGCATGCTTTGCTTTACTTTATCAACTTTGCATAACAAGCTTCTGAATTCCAAATGCTTAATTTTAATGAAACAGGGTCACAGAAACGGAAGTTTTTAAAAAATATTTTCTTCTTTTATTTGCCCTTTCCTTCACCTCTTGTCTGTCAGATTGCCCAGGAAAATCTTAATCAAAATACAGTGGTGCCCCTCATAGCGGCGTTAATCCATTCCATGATTAACGTCGCTATGCGGGGGGGGGGACCCATAGGAACGCATTAAAACAGATTTAATGCGTTCCTATTGGGGCGAAAACTCACCGCTATGCGGGGAATCCTCGATCTGGCTGCCATTTTCGCTGCCCGGCAAGCGAGGGCAGGGCGCAAAAACGCTGCGGGCGGCCATTTTGGAACCGCTGATCAGCTGTTTAAAAAACATCACAATGCGAAGATCAGTAAGCGAAACGCTTACCGATCATTGCAGTGCAATGTTTTCCCTATTAAAACGCAAAAAACACGTCGCTATGCGAATTCGTCGTTAAACGGTGCACTCGTTAAGCAAAGCACCACTGTAGTGTACAAAGGACTGCTCTCAACAACCAGTCAGAACTTCAGGAGTGAAGGATAGGAAATTTTGAGGTGTAGAAGGAGTGGATTGTTTGGCACCCAGTAAAGAATGTACAGTGGGGTCTTGACTTGAGAACTTAATCCGTATTGGAAGGCGGTTCTCAAGTCAAAAAGTCTGTAAGTCAAGTCTCCATTGACCTACAGTGCATTGAAAACAGATTAATCCCGTAACAGGCCGTTTCTGTTCCATTTTGGTTTTTTTCTGGTCTGTAAGTCAAATCTCAGTCTGCAAGTGAAACCTAAATTTTGCAGCCAGAGAAGTCTGTAACTCAAAAAGTCTGTAAGTCAAGCCGTCTGTAAGTCAAGGGTCCACTGTACTTTTTTCACTCTCTCACTTTGAGTGAGCTCCATGGCCTGCTTTTATCATAATTAGGCTCTCTCTGCATGTGGATCTTTTTTCTCTGGATGTTTTCAATACTCCCTCTCCCATTTCTGAGGCGTGATTTCTGCCACAGCCAGAGAATTGTTTTTGGGGACAACTTCTCTATTGGAGATTTTTCCCCTCTGCCCCCCAGCCCCCATTTCTTTTCTGAATTATTTTTGCTGTCTTCTAGTGATGGGCTCAAGAGATGAGACCAATGGTGAGGAGAGAGAAATTTCTCCTCTTTATATTCTAGTTATTTTGGTTTGTGGGTCTGGCAGCATTTACTCTCTTACTTTTATTAGCTTTTTTGGGAGAGAGGATAGTGTTTGTTCGTTTGTTTTCCTTTATTTTGCTGTTTCCCCTCCCGGTGTATGTGTTTTCCTTATTACATTTTTTTAAAAGTGGTATTTGGTTGGTTTACTGTAAATGGCCCTTGTTCCTGTTTTTTAAGCAGATTTACTGTTTTCTTATGACTTTTAAACAGGTTCTCTGTTGCCTACCTTGCTCTTACTTTTTGTAACATTTTAAGGACCCTTTAAGTCTTTGGACAAGTGTGAGAATGCAAATGGGAGAAACGGAAATGAAATAATCTGAAAGTACCAGTCCCTTTTATGTTTATAAAAGGACTGATAACTAAAGCCGCAAAAACAAATGAAGCCTCCTCTGGGAGAACCTGAAGAATCAAGCCGCCAAGTCCCCCCCCCCCATCCATTCATTCTAGTTTGGACCTACTTTGAAATGGGCTAAGGAATTTCAAACTGAGGGTGTTTGTTTCCAAGCCCCCAATTCTGAAGACTGCATCCATCATGGATTTTCAAAGATAAGCATTATTGTTACAGGCAGATTATTCTAAACTGTTAATTACTGAATTTTATATGGCTGCCTGAATATGCTAGTTTTATAATTGTTCATAAATGATAAGATTCTTCTGCAAAGTTAGCCTGAGATTGTTTCCGGATACAGTCTAAACCAGTCTACATTAATGCTTGGGTTTTCTGGTGATGTGCATTTTTTATCACCATTACTAATTTGAGATTCTACTAATAATCCAGCATTGTGTATGATTCAGTGTGGTAAATTCTGGTGCATGATTTATTGAAATAGCATTATTTCAGAAGTGCAAATTTATTCACATTGACTGTTAATTTAGAATTATGATGTGCTTGATTAATTGGTTTCCTATTTGTAGGTCACACATATTGAGCCTTGGGAGAAAGGGAGCAGAAAAACAGCAGGCCAGACAGGGATGTGCGGAGGGGTAAGTAGAAGTACGTGCCTTCTGAATTCTTAAAAGTTTTCTTTATGCTAGCTAACGATTTGTGTAATACCGCACATATGAAAAATTCCAGTGTTGCAAGCTGAGTGGATAGTTGCTGTCACTGATGGCAATTTATTATTTGTGGGGTTGAGATTTTTTAAAATCAGCTTGGTTTAGTAGAAGAATAGATAAAAAAACTGCAGGTGATCTTTCCTTCCAGTTGTGAGTGCTTTATTGTGAGTTTTGTATTTATATATATATGTATGTGTGCTTACATCACTATACTGACAGCAAGCCTTGCTGTATAACATGCGGACATTTTGTGTGCCTACATCTTGTATGTAGAATTTTTATTTTCAAAACTGGAAGTGACTGAAAGTTCACTTCTTATTTGTGGGTATGGGGGATCCAATCCACACTCAGTTCTTAAGGAGAATGCTGCTATGCTGCTCCTGCTGACTCTCCAGAGGTGCATTTTTCTCTTTTTAAAGGCAAAAACATTTTCAGGCAGGATGGACCTCTTTGTTATCCAGTTGGACTATGCAAACATGCATATTTCTACTTGGATTGTGGGCTGTGGTACTGCTCGTTTAAGTGAGGGAAAGACTAAATCCAGTGTTTCAACATGTGAAAAGATTATTGCAGACCCAGGCCAGAATCCTGTTCAGTTGAAGTGCTTGTGCAATGCAGTGTAAATAACATAACATTTGTGCAAGTGTGTAGGGAAGAATTTATTAAAAGCTAGTTGTAGTAACTGTTGCTGCTGCTTCTCCTTGCAGAAGACTAAGCCAGTAGGAAGCTCTGCTTGCATAGTGGCAGTATCTGTTCAAGCAGCATGATCATGCTTTACTTTGCAGGCAGACCTTTTGTCTAGTCAAGTCTCAGTAGGATCTTTGCCCGAATGCCGACATGAGGTTTATGATCTTCCGTATATTGTAATGTAGTTGCCCACTATTGTATTACAAATCAGTTGGTTTCACAAATGAAGAAAAACAACTGTATTTTGTGTGATGACATTAAAAGTAAAATTGTGTTACACTCAGGTTGTTCCTTGTTGTTGTTCATGTCTAAAGGTGCGTGGTGTTGGAACTGGAGGTATAGTGTCTACAGCCTTTTGCCTCCTGTACAAGCTGTTTACCTTGAAGCTTACCCGTAAGCAAGTGATGGGACTAATAACTCATACAGACTCCCCATATATTAGGGCTCTTGGATTCATGTATATTAGGTAAGTAGCAGTATTCAGTCCTGTCACTGAATTTTGTTCATTGAAAACATTGTTTAATTTACACTGTTTCTTTGTACTTCAAGGTACACACAGCCTCCAACAGATTTATGGGACTGGTTTGAATCCTTTCTTGATGATGAGGAGGTATGTCAACAAGGGTAATAATTTATTTTCTTTTTTCTTTTCTTTTCTGACTTCTTGTAAACATAGTTTTAGATAAATTTCTATAGGTTAAAAAGCATTGCAATTCAGAAGTATTTTTAGTTGCATATGTTGAGTAGTAAGACCTTTCTCATATTGAATGGTTTGCAAACTTAGCATAAACAGGAATTGAAGGGCATTCTTAGGAATTTCAAATATGTTGGAAGTGCATTTAATGTATCATCAATATGATTGTGGGAAGTGGGCAAGGACTGCATTGTTAGAGAGATGACTATAGTTTGAGGAGTGCCATTTTTAAGCCAGAAAAATCAGGGATGAAATCAGCAGAATAAAGTGGAAATAAGCAAATGGTTAATATTTTAAGAAAGGAATTGGTGGGGTATTTGCTGTTCATAGGCATGTGGGAACTTCTGAAAGCTCAATGATGCTGCAAGCACTGACCATTAAATACACCAATTGCTCTTAAATTTCTAAAATTTTCAGTCATGTTTTGGAGGCTTCATGGAGTCCAGTTGAAGAGTTAATTTCCTCCACTGTTAATGTTCTATGTTACTATGAATTCTCTTTGAAGTCAGCATTCACATGACATTACTGTCATTTCTTAGCTTGTAGACTTTGTCCTGAGTGCCATTTATCTATTTAGAAAATTTCATATTGATCACTGAAATTCTGTTGCTTAGGGTAGTATGTTGCTGCTACAGTAGGCCCAATTGAATGAGAACTTAGGGAGGAGCTGACTCACCAAATTCCCACTAATTCAAATGGGTCTGCTCTGGTTGTGACTTACTCTTCTAAGAAACAGAATTTCAGGTAATAAATAATAGCATGCTCCACTAATTATGGCCACTATAACATTTGGAGCTCATACAAAAAAAAAGATTTCTGTGGAATTGTTCTCTTTAATATTTGGCTTATAATAGGCAATGCCCTTTCTAGGTTACCAGTTTTTTAATATGCTTCTCTGATGTATGGCAAATTGATATGTCTTTTGACTCCACTACTTCATAATTTGGCATTATACAGTGGCATTCTTGGTTCCTGTACAAAAACTGATTCATGGCTAGTTTTGCATCCTGTTTCTCATAGAACTCTCTAAAACTGGCTATACAGAAAGATTACTTCCATGTATTACATTTTCCCCAATTTGCTGCTGTTGAAGATAGATGTCAGAGCAATTTGGTGTTCTCTTAATGCATCTGTTTAAATGTTGTTAATGCATCAACTACTTCAGTGATACTATATTCTGTAGGTACCTTTCAGGTACTACTTTTATGCTAATATGTCATTTTCTTCTTTAGATCTCTATGCAATGATTTTATTTGGAAAAAAATCTATGTATCTGAACACGTAAATGTGTGTGAGTGCAAGCCGTTTTACATTTAGATTTTTTGTTCCTTTTTAGATAACAAATCTCACTTTCCTTGTATGCTTGCACTATAGGTTTGGGCCTGACAATAGCTGACTAACATGTCCTGAGCTGTGAGAGGGCATAGCAAGAAGGCCTTCATGCGGTAATGACCCTTTTCCGAGACACTGGTCATCATGGATTATGCGTTTCCAATTATTTGTTACTTTATTTATTTTTTGCATAACAAAATTAGAAACCTCACTGCTTCATGGCAGTTGGTTTGCTATTGCTTCCAATTTAGGTAGGGTCCATATGGTACTACAGCCTTTTCTGGTCATTTTTAGACAGGAGATGAAGCCATCCTGAATGTGGTTAGGCCACAGTGTCAAGTTATGACCATGGTCCTTGATAATGAGAGATTAATTTAGAACAACCTACGTTCTATTTTGTGGCAGAACAGAACAGGAATAACAGCATACAAACCAACAATGTAAGGGGATTTCACATTAACCTGTTGAGAAATTGACCCTTTACTATTTAGCTGCAGGGTTAGTATTCACCTGCATGCATATGCCTTAAAGCCAACTCCTGGCCTGTAACATATGGCTAAATTCAGAGGTACAGGAATTGACATTCTGAGGAAACTTGTATACCAGCAAAAAAAAAAATCCTCTAAGCCATCATATTTGAAACTTGCAAGATGGCAATCAATAGAATAGCATTTATTTCTAATTAAATTTTAATGGTTTCTCACAATCAGAATCTGTGTTGTGTTTTATATTTGTTTTTTTAAAGGACTTGGATGTGAAAGCAGGTGGTGGCTGCGTCATGACGATTGGAGAGATGCTGCGCTCCTTCCTTACTAAGCTGGAATGGTTCTCTACATTATTTCCAAGGATTCCTGTACCAGTGCAGAAGAACATTGATCAACAAATTAAAGCCAGACCTAGAAAGATCAAGAAAGATGGCAAAGAAGGAGTCGAAGAAGTAGACAGACACGCAGAGCGTAGACGTTCAAGGTTATATATTAACTTTACAAAATAGTGCTTTAATGGAAATAATTTTTCATTAAGATTTTTTCTGATTTCTTTAGCACAGATGGCTAATTAAACAGCATATGCACAGCAGTCTAGGGCAGTGAAACAGCTTTGTGTTATTTATTTACATTTATAAGGATAGTAGTACAATTCTTACATGACAGATGAGCTGTACTGTGGTGTATCTCTGTGTTTGTGGCTTGAGTGAAATTTAAATTGATGCATGATCTTGGCCTTTATATCTGTAATAGATTGAAACTAGTCATGATTCCTGTGTTCTACTAGTATTTCACAATTATAACATGAGGAGGCATATTTCAGCACAAAGAGATTAAGGTATTCATAATCTGCTCTAGGTGGTCCTGAGCATATGCTTTTGATTTATTGGATTGGGTGAAGGTTCACGTCATCTAATATTCTTTGCAGGAATCTCAGCAACAAGCGCATATTAAGTAGTGGTCTATCAAAATATTGCAGCCTGTATTTTGCCCATTCCTCCTACACATATTACAAGCTGTAATACAGCTAATCAAGATTCATGCAAAAACATTTGAATTGATAAAAAAATTGTTTACGTAGATGGTGGTTATAGCAACATTGAATGAAAATTATAAAATAAGGAAAAGTTAAATTCCCTTGCTGAAACCCCTGATGGAAATGCTTAATTTCTTAAGTATTTGTTTTCATGTAGGTCCCCAAGGAGATCCTTGAGTCCCAGGAGGTCACCTAGAAGATCAAGAAGCAGAAGTCGTCATCGGGAAGGCCGTGGATCATCCAGTTTTGATAGAGAATTGGAAAGGGAAAGGGAACGGCAAAGACTAGAAAGAGAAGCCAAGGAGAGAGAGAGGGAGAGACGCCGATCCCGAAGTTCTGATCGGGCATTGGAACGTAGGAGAAGCAGAAGCCGAGAGAGGCACAGAAGTCGAAGTCGTGACCGAAAAGGTGACAGAAGAGAGAGAGAGCGGGAGAAGGAAAATGAACGAAGTAGGAGGAAGGAGCGTGACCATGATAAAGACAGAGGAGTTGAGAGAGACAGAGAGCGATCAAAAGATCGTTCTAGAGAAAAATCAAAAGACCGAAAAAGTAAGAGTGAAATAGATGAGAGGAGGCACAAAGATGACAAAGATGAAAGGAAGCATATCATCAATAAAAGAGATTCCAAGAAGGAAAAGAAGCATAGCAGGAGCCGAAGTAGGGATCGGAAGCATAGGAGTAGAAGCGTGAGCAGGAATGCAGGAAAGCACAGTAGAAGCAGGAGTAAAGAGAAGTCAAGTAAACGCAAAAGTGAAAGTAAAGAAAAATCAAACAAGCGAAGTAGAAGCAGAAGCAGAGGAAGAACTGATAGCAGCGAAAAGTCCCGGAAACGAGATCATAGTCCCAGTAAAGAGAAATCTCGAAAACGTAGTAAAAGCAAAGAACGTTCCCATAAACATGACCACAGTGATAAGGACCACTCAGACAAACACGATCATCAAAGGAGCCAAAGTACAGAACGCGAGAATCAGGAAAAACAATCTAAAAACAAAGACGAGACTGTATGAATGTTCAGAAATGGATCACATTGAATCCCATAAATGTTTTAAATCCTTGCTTATTTTTTTCTTGAAGTTGAGATTGTGCAGTAGTTGATGAGCACTCAACCTCCCTCTAGGCTGCAGATTGTCATTTCCTATTTTAAGTAGGGAAGTGCCTTTCTAATCCCATTAAATGCGTTGATTATTCCAGCCCATTTGTTTAGTTAAATTCATGATGCAAATCTGTGTGTGCGTTTTTTAAAAATTGTTCAACTTTATGTACAATCTGTACATACGTCCTGGAACTGTTCTAATCCCTTCAGCATGGTTTGCCATGTTGGTTAAATTTGTATATGGCAATAAAACTGCCACTAATTCTACTTTGTTTTATAGATGTGGAATTATGGTTTCTATCTTTGAATTAGCATGGCTGTGCTTTGCTTAACAGTATGGCAGAAGCTTTTTAAGGATGGGTCTTGAACGTGTATTATATCTAAAGTATTTGTGTGCATTCAACATCCATGAAGGTTACAATTCTAGAATTTTTGTGTCCATTTGTACATCTTGTCTTGGGAAAACATTTAAAATTTATTTGTGAAACTCAAGAAAGTGTTACATTTAGAGTAGGTCTTTCAAAAGAGGTAGCAATTTAAGGGGTTAAGGTTTTGCCGAGGTTTGTGTCGGTGCTGGAGTCAGTTTTACCTTGTAGGGCCACTGCTAAGACTGGTAAGCCTATATGTCATATCCACATAGATTTGCTGATTAGCGTGTGTTACTCATGTAAAACATTTTCAATACAATATCCCTAAGTATTTCATTTAAAATATACCACAGTCCTTTCACTGAAGAAGCAACACTAGGCTAAGTGATAAATGATGCTAAATAGGGAAAGGCAGGAAGACAAATGTAGGTCAATCAGCAAGCTTCAGTTTCAGCTTCCAAACATTTTTATAAGTAAAAGACACACTGAAAGCATCTTCATACAGTTCTTTTTTAAAGCCCTTTCTTTTTACAAAGGTGTGTAATCATTGCCTGAGCTGAAGAATTTCCCTCTAGCCACAAGAAAAGTAGCTTCATTTTTTAAACACTGGTTACTTGTGAGATAATGTCAACATGCAGTATTGAAAACAAAATCATATCACAGAAGTTCATATCTGTTTCATAGATTTGTTCTAGTGACCTGTATAAGAAATATAAAATCTCTGGAATAAAGACTGGATTAATTTATTTGTGGCTATCCCCGGTTCATTGCCAGGGCTTCTATTTCATCAATAATATCAGCTTAAAGAGTACATTGCATAGCCTATGAATAGAACAGTAACGAATACTTGATAGTTCAGCATGCAAAGCATGTTTATAATGGAGTTCAGGTTGAAACATTTTTACCACCTTTGCTAAATTTTACTCTCTTCAGTGAGCATCAAGTAATTAATGTTAAAGCTTAATGTAGTGAAGATAGGATCTCCATCCTCCATTTTATGGAAGCTGGTTGTTTTACAGCTGGTATTTCTGCCTCGTATCCTGTTAGGAATAGAACAAGTAGAGTTTGATTAGTCACAGGGAACAGATTGCACTGACTGGACTGTTGAAGCAGTCACATGGAGGGATACAGTAGAGAGAGTAAACAAAAGTGTCACAGAGCCATGAATTGAAAGACATACTGAAAAAATGGAATGCAAGTCCAGACAAAATGTCTGCAGTGATAGTCTTACCTGCTTTTTTCAGTTGGTTTTTTTCTGTAGCACCTAGTGAATTGCATTTCTTCGTCCTCTGTAAATCACTGAGAAATTATAAAGTTTGAACGAAGTTAATTTAGCCTGACTGAGCAATATTTTTGGTAGTAACTTATTTTAACATCAGATGGGGATTTCAGATTGTTTTAAGATTAAACAATACTGTAAAGGGCTTTCCCCATCTGAAATGGGCAAAGACTAGCCTGAAGGGCTGCTAGCAATCACATAGAAACATGGTGCTAAGAGATGTTTTCATGAAGAGCGCTATACAAAGTAGTTTCAGATATTTTAATTTAGCCACCTCTTGGATATAATCATTCTTTACTAAATAACATTTTTTTGCCTTAGGAGCAAATTTCTTACAGGCAAGAGACAGGATTTTGTTACTGCAGCTCTTTATTTCCTTTTGAGGGGGGGAGTTCATTTCCTCCACTTACATGTTAGCTAAACAGCTTTGAATTCAAAACTGCTATCAGATTTGTAGGTTAGAACAGTTTTTAGCAGTTTCAGAGTGCAATGTACACTCCATCTAACTAGACATGTAAAAACAGACAATAATTTTTTATATTGTCTATCTAACTATGTAGAATTATTCTTGGAATTACAGATGAATATTCTTGACCTTGATACTTTTTACAACAGGAATCTGTTGTAAAAATAAGGATTTGACCTTAGAGAAACTGAATTTTCTGGTTATAATACTAAAGAAATTTTAGGGGACTTCTAGCGAAAGTAACATCAATCTGGCTAATGGGGAAGAGAACACAGCCACATTCACTTACCCATTCCTACTGAACTCCCAGAACATGTTACTATAGAATAAAACACAAAATGATAAATACTAAAAAGCCGGAAACAGTATTTTGTGCTTTCAAAAGGTTTCATGGAATAATTCAGAAAAAAATTTACTGATCTTTTAATAATGCAAGGAAAATGTAATTGATCTTTCTGGATGGTTGGTTTTCTACACTGCCATCAGGATTTTAACTGCAGACCATCAGATGGAAAGAGCTAGTATATGAAACCATGCTGGGTTAAACAATAGCAAAAAAATGGATAGAGCTATAATAGCAATTGTGTAAATAAAATGACTGCTTTGTTGTTTGTGTGGCTAAAGATTGGCAACTGCAAACTAGGTACAGATAAATCTATGTCTCCTTTACATTCGTACAAACACAGGAAACATTGTCAAACCATGCCCACCACTTTAGGACTCTCCTGCTGCAAGTATTGCAGTATAGTATCTATAGTATCTCAGATTTCTTTAATGTTTATATGCATGCTCTAATTGAAGCTTCTGGAGATACCTCGCAGTAAAGGTGCCTGATTGTTGGCACACAATTTGTGTAATTGACAAAAGATTCTTGTAGCACTTTAGGGATGAACAAATGTTTTATAATTGCACTAGCAACTGAAAATTAAATTTGACTAAATACAAGCTCAATATATTAGATCACACCCAATTCTGTCATTTGGAGAGTGTTGGACAGTGGTATGGAGACAGACTATGTGGTATAGCTCTTTATAACAGCCACCTGAGACTTTCAGGTAGTTTGTGCATGACACTCATTTGAAAATTGGTCTAAGAGGAGGAGCTGTTAAGTGTTTCACAAATCTTCTATGTCATATTTTCTACTATACAGTGGTGCCTCGCTTAACGAGTGCACTGTATAGCGATGTTTCCGTATAGCGATCCCTTTTTCGGGATCGCTATATGGAAACATACCCGATCTTCGCAATGGGGAAAACCCGCATTGTGAATGCTGTTAAGTGTTTCACAGATCTTCTATGTCATATTTTCTACTATATATTAACCAGCAAATTTCTAGTTTCTTGTCTACAACAGGGCACTTTAGGTCATTACCTGAATATATCTTTTTAGGACAAAATGCAAGTTTTGCTCCTGCATGATCTGTTACAGGTGACACCACAACTGTATAGACATCTCCACAGGGTATCTCAGTGATGTCACAGTATGAAAGGTTTATGTTGGGTGTACAGGTGAAATTTTCTTTTGAGCCATATAGAACTGTACTGTAGCAAATTTCTAGTTTCTTTATTGTCTACAACAGGGCACTTTAGGTCATTACCTGAATATATCTTTTTAGGACAAAATGCAAGTTTTGCTCCTGCATGATCTGTTACAGGTGACACCACAACTGTATAGACATCTCCACAGGGTATCTCAGTGATGTCACAGTATGAAAGGTTTATGTTGGGTGTACAGGTGAAATTTTCTTTTGAGCCATATAGAACTGTACTGTAGCTTATTGACCCTTCTGATGTTCGCCAGTATATTCGTATGCCATTGTTGCCCAGTCTGTATAGCTTAACCCCAGAGGGACAACAAGCACCTAGGAACAAAGGAAAAACATGATAGCTTTTTATGAATACAATGTCTGTCTTTCCATTTAGGTCAGACAACAACAGATTTGTTAATGAACTTTTGCAAGTGAAAATAAAGTGCTTTTAAAGTAACAGTTGGAGTTCTCTCAAAGTATGCTATTACATATCTTAGGAAGAGTATATTACCTAAATGCCAACAATTGGCATTTAGAAACCTCTGCATAGGATTACTAGCATCAGCTGAAGTAGCTTTCTACTTTTGCAAACCAATAAAATGCATCGGAAGCAAAAAGATGTACTCATGAAATAACTTGCCAAAACATACTGGAGTCATTTCACTCCTAGATCCTCAGTACCTCATGGTGCCAGCATTCTGATGAATTCTCTCATCTATCCATTTGAAAATATCAAGTGGTCTGCAGCAGAGGGCTGGGTAACTATGGATTATTAGAATTTGGCTTTCAATTCCCAATAGCCCTAGCCAGCAAATGAGGAGTTACAAGATCTGCAGTCCAAAAGCATTTAGGGGACTGTAGTTGTCCATCCCTGCTGTAGTTTAAGGTCAATCTGTAAGTGCCTGTAGGATATGCTAGGAGCCTATCAGGGAGATTTAAGGAAGCACTGAGTTTGGGCACCAACACTGATAAACTAGAGCTGAAAAAACTGATAGTCTACTTCCAGTTCATTTGATCTCCACCCCTTATCAACTGAAAAATCTTACTACAGTGTTGTGGACCTCTTGAAATTTGACTGGAGCAAGTGAACAGGCCCCTCTACTTACTCTCCTTGTAGCTTTTCATGCCCCAGATGGTTCACCTGGCTTTACTAGGAGCAGTAAGTGATTACTTAGGCTAGTCGAGGAGTTGGAATTTTTCTTTCGAAAAACCTATGGAGAGGCAAGGGCTTCATAGTCCCTTGAAAGGTTCATTATAATCATTAATCTCAGATTTCAGGATAATCTTCAATTAGGCATTTAAAAGGACAGTTTTTTAAAAATACAGTGCATCTGTCTTAAAAACTGCTTTTTCATATACTTACTAGAAGAAAATCCTCTATATATACAATCTGAGCTTAAACCTGTTTCACTAATTGCTTTGACAGACACCGTATAGTTGGTTCCGCAGGTAATGCATCCTAGGAGGCAGTAATTCTGGAGTGTATGACACCTGGCTTGTCCTCTGTGTGATTCCAAAATGGTTATGTATGTCTTTGCACCAGTCCCAACAGACCAGCTGATGTTTGTTACAGATTGTGTCACTTCAGTTACTGCAAGATCAGTTGGGCAGCAAGGAGCTTAAAAGAAAGGAGACAGTTACTGCTTTTGCTTAGTAAAATGCAATTTGAAGTGCTACATTCATAATATGTTTTGGCATATTAGGTGAAATTTTAAAATCATGTTTCCACTTTGAAAATAGAATACCTGTATCAAGATGCTACTTGTGAAATTCTAGTGGAAAATTCTTTACTAATGACATTGGCAATATGTGAATTGTCATTTCTACTTTCTTGCAGTGTACTACTTTCCAGATCATTCTGAATGGCTACCCACAGCCACCAAGTAGAATTCTGTAGCTGCATTTGATTTTGGATTCAGAAGTCAACATTATTTCAGCTGTTTCATCTGGCCTATCTCAATTTGATACCCTCATGTATTTTAGTGGATACCTCCTCTAATTCAGCCTTCTCACTGAACTGATAACTCATTTCTCAATCGTCTTTTTTTAAATAAGTGACTAGCTGTATACAAAGATGCCTGTGACATACTGAAGGAGACAGTAAGATAGGATAGTTTAATAAACAGCTTAATCAAATGATTAGGGACTCCATTTTTAGTTTTTTTTTTCTTTTCCCTTACTGCTCTTCAAATCATCCAGCTCACCAAGGAGTGCAGGATAGGGGCAAATAGTCTCTTGCTCTGAAATGGTTCTTCACCCCTGACTCCTTCCATACGCGTCTGAACTCTAAGGTAATCTTTGGAGACTAGCTTTCATTAACACAACTAACTGGTTGGTTACCTGAACATCTTGGTGCCAGGCAAGCACATTTCTCCCAGATGTTTTAGATTTTTTAAATTGTGAGACTTTTTGCCTATTGATGTTTTTCACCTGTTTTATTGTGTTAATCCAGCATCTGAATAGTTAGTTACACAGGGTTGCAGATATAAAAGGCATGTATTACAAAAAAAGTGCATGGTAGTACATTAAAACAACTAAGTTGTAACTTACCTGTCTCTAAAGGAACACTGTAACTAGGCAAGCTGTGTCCGGCATCTGTACTTGCTACAACACTGATAGAGAAGAGGGACCCACAGGGAAGATTATAGATAGCACATGAATTTCCAGAGCTTGTGCATTGCCATTTCCCTGCTTCTCCTTTAGCGGTGACTGTATATGTTGCCTCATCATTATTGGCATGCCAATTCACACTAATTACAGAAAGAGCATCCTTTGAGACACTTATTATTTCCGGACTGCATGGAGCTGAAAGATATTATATAGAGCACACTTGAACTAGTTTCTTATTTATGATTGCTATGTTGCATTAGAACAGCTGCAGATTATTATAAGTAGTCTGCAATCTTATTAAAACCCAGAAAAGGATCAGAATAATTGAGTTGAAAGGGGCCTATAAGGCCATCGAGTCTCAATCCCCCTGCTCAGTGCAGGAATCCAAAGCAGAACTGACACGTGGTTGTCCAGTTTTCTTTTAAATGCCTCCAGTATACCGTATTCTGTAAATTCTCATCTTGTGCGACATTATTGTCAAAGGCTGACTCCCGTTGCAGAGAGTTCTCCTTTCCAAATATATTATGTAAGATTGACCATGAATGTGCCTGGAATCTTAAAAATAAACAGGCATTGCATATTGCATATAATCAGTTGTAGTGGGTTTAATTCAGGCTTCCCTAGTGTAGCATCTTAAGATGTTTTACCATATGCCGTACCCAGCATGACGTTTGTTTGGGGATGATAGAAGTTGCAGCCCAGAGACATCTGGGCTCAGTAGCTTGGAGGAGCACTTAATCTGAGGAGTTGCTAACGGCCTAATTGTAAACATGTGGTCCAAGTGCTGTTCTTTGGAGCTGATGTTTTGTTTGACCAAAGAAAGCAGTCATTGTTGCTGTTGGGCTGGAGAGATCTGGATGCTTAGCCTCTGGGTAGGAAAGCACAATGCCACAAATCACTGTGCTGTGTTAGTACACAGGCCTGCCAAACTTCCGGTGAGTTCCACAGATTTTGATTTAGAAGATCTCCCACTGAAATACAGTGTAACCCCTTAAAAGAGTGATAACAGAACAGTAAAGTACTGAAAATGATGCATGTTTTTAATTGAAAGTAACCCTCAAGTTAGCTCTGCTCATTTTAGATAAAAAATACAAATGCAACTGATGCAGCTAAGTAATTTGTGACCTTGGTCAGAACAGGATTAGAGGAGTCTACCTTCAGATTGCCATGTGTAGTACTTTAGTTGTGAAGTACACAGGTCGTATCTGTCCCATGGCCATGCTTTACAACTTTTAGATTCTGGATAAGTCAGAGCAGAAAGGGGCAGAACCCAATAATGACACTTTGCTGGCAGAAGCAATTTTGTCAGCAGACCTGAGCCCCACTCCCTGTGCATGTTCAAAATGTACTTTGGTGGGCTAGGAAACCCATTGAAGCTCATTTTTGGGTGGGTTGCATAGGATTGGGGAAAGGAAGAGAAATGGAAAGTCATGTTTATGCAGTAATGAAATACACTGGCACAGTGCAGAACTGATCTTATTGTTAACCTTGATCAAAACATGGAAAGAAATCCTATGAGCATATGCAGTTTCACATTTTAATAATGTGGAATAATGTGGAGTTTGTTCCTGTTGTCCTGATACATTCTACTTTTAGAGTTTTACCTAAGACTAAGCACTACCTTGTTATACAAGGGTGATACATATTTTCAACTACATTCTGGCAAATCTGCATTGGCTCCTTGTATCCATGCTAAATTCAAAGTGCGGGTATTAATTTATAAAGCCCTTAATGGTTTGGGAGCTTGTTACCTGATGGGGTGTCTCTAAGATTGTCCACCTATGCCATCTGATCCAGTCAGGATTTGCGTTTGCATGTGATCACCTCTAGAGAGGCCCAGAAAACCACCAAAGGAACCAGGCCTTCTTGGTTCTGGCCACAAAGCTATACAATGTGCTTCCTGCAGATATAAGCTATTGTTTTCTGGCCTTCAGAAAATGGGTCAAAACGTTATTGTTTGAAGAGGACTTCAGAAACATCTTACCCCTGTGACATCCTCGTGGTTTCCTGAAGTGGTTATTGTTTTGATTGGCTGTCCAGGTTTCTTTTTATTTAGATATTTGGAGTTTAATGTTCTTTTGGATCTCAGTATTTATGTCTTGTGAGGGGATGGGTAGCTGGGGTTTGTTGTTAGCTGCTCAGGATAGTACATTAGCACTAAATGGGTGGGATATAAATGTACTGAATTAAATAAGTAAAAATAAAGGAAGGCATCTGCAACCATGTTTATGTTCAGTGAGCCACCTCCACTCTAAAAAAAGTTTTTTTAAAGAAAGGATATTATGGTAAGCAGAGGCAATCCCAGTGGGATCCCGTTATGTGTTCTTTTCCCTAAGGTCAGACCTGTAAGCATTTCAGGACAAAAATCCTAGAATCCTTTCCCTGACACTATTGTCTTAAATGCACAAAAACTGCTATTCCATCGAATCTTCCTTTCTACATAAGATAGCACGTTGTGGCAAATGCACAGTAGCTTTATCTTAATACTTCCAATCTATAACAATTCTTTTGAGCTCTTATCATGACATGTTTTCTATAATGCAACATTCCAACCAGAACCATACCTGTCGCCACATGTTTTGATGCACAGGATGTATTGCTGCCCCGGATTTCACTGAATGAATATACAGTAATATTGTATTGAGTATTGCACTGCAGCGCAGACAGCGTACAAACTGTTGCAGTGTCATTGCACAACAGCTCATTTGGCCAGTCAGCAGCTTTGGTTTCATACATTTCAGCACCACGGACAGGAGACCAGACAATCTGAACGGTGTCACTAGATACAAACACTGGGTTAAAATCGCTGGGGCAGCAAGGTGCTAAAAAAAGGAGGGATGCAACATTAACTTTGAATAGGATATTAGAGATAGCAAACTAAATGTTTTCTTACACATTCTACCTTGAAAGTGAAAACAGCAACAGAGGGATCTCAAACCAGGGACTCCAGAATTGGGACTGGAGGCTTCCTCTTTATAGTATTATGACAATGTAACAAAGAAAGGAACTGGTGAGCTGCTCTTTACTGCAGCTCAGTACATGTAAGGGTTGGGGTTGCGGTTATTGCCTTAGGGATTTGTGTAACAAGACCCTCCTTGAAACTACTAACTCTTAACTAGTCTCCTTCATTTGAAAAACTGATATCTTGGGAACACTAAGGTGACATCCTGCCAGAGTTTGTCTGCTAAGCTGGCTTGGACCTGGTTAGCTTTTGGATAGCAGACCACAAGGAAATATCAGAAATCTCCAGATAATTAGGCTAGAAAGGAATCCCATCAGTCAAAATTTACACTACTGGGCTCAAGGTTGTGTTGTTTAGCTGCTCCTAGACTGGATGGAGCATTTGGTAGCCACCAACCCAAACTGGCAACCTAAATCTAACTGACTTATCTAATATTTTGAAATTCCTATTCTTACGTATTTAGCAACTCGGTTTTCCAACCTTTGTCTAATGTCAACACAGATTTACCAAAGGTGCATGCATAAATATATGGGTACTTACCTGTAGTATAGTTAAATATGTCACCCAAGGGGCTCTGTCCTGCTTTATTATAGGCAAAGACACTAATAAAATAGGTGAAACCGCAGTCTGATTGGAAGTGGCACAGAGTATGTGACGTGTTGCAATGTACCTCCAAGCCATCATCACTCTTCACAAAGACCACATAGTAATCACTGAGGTCAGTGTCTGACCAGGATACTGCCAAGTTGCCTGGCTCATCTTCTTCAATGGTTATACTTTCTGGAGCACAAGGTACTAGAAAGTCAGATTTCCAACAAAGATGTGTTCTAATTTTTCCAGAGCTTGGAAAATTACTATAATTAGAGTTCCAGTACAAACCCCGCCCCCATGGTTGATATTAGTGAAGACATATTTGTAAAGTAACAAAATGCTTTCCAGTTTCTTAAAGGCTCTTAATGTATTTAGTTTTTAAATTTTGAATGCTACAGGCTCCTAGCCTGTTCTCTACCTATCCACATTACTGTGTGAATATGCACAACAAAGCACAAGGCAGCAGCAACTGCATAAGGCATGGCACGATGTAGCACTTGGACCGTATGACATCCCTCCTTACTCTTTAGTAAGACCACGCAACCTAAAACTATTAATGTAACTAAAAAGTTACAGTTATACTAAGAAAAGAATTACATTACTGCTCATTAAGTTGCAAGCATAATGTAATTTCACTGGTGATGATGAAGAATTATTCACTACTCTGCAATTATTTGTAACTATTTACTTCAAATCACAATGCTTCTCATTACATAGGGAGAGGGAAAATTTCTATAGACTCCAAACAATGAGAAATTGGGGTAATGCTAATTTAATGTAGTTTTCATGGGTTGGGTTTGCTTTTGTAGAGCACCTGATCCTGTTACATTCTTGTGTGCTGAAGATTCTTCTGTCTTTTTCAGAGGGCTGCAGTGCTTGCACTTGTGAACAAGTTCAACAGCACCAAGGTGAAGAAGACATTTGCCATAAGCATGTCATAATGGAACTTAAAAAGTGTGGGGGGGGGAGATCCCATCCCACAACACGGATGAGATATAACACTAGAGATTCCTCTTTCTGTTCTCATTTGGAAGGAAATATGGCACTAGGTAGAAATGTTGCTGGGAAGGGCTGGCTGAGAGCAGGAATGGGGATACCTGCTGTTATTTCCAGCCAGTGAACATGGGAACTTTTTATCCCAGCTGGGAGGGGCAGAGCTTGGAAAAGTTAATGACCAAACATACAATTGTGCAATATTCAGAAACATGTTTAAATGATACACAAATAATATTTCAGTTAAGGCTATCAAGGTTGGAATTCACTTAAAAGCCAGTCTGCATCTTTGAGCAATCTCAATATTTTCCTCTTTGGTCTGGCATATGTGACGACATCAGACATCTCAATCTAGACATTTCTTCTCATCTTCCACAGTGTGTCCAACTGAGTTTTGCTCTGGGAATTTCAAAGAGTAATAAGACAGAGTTGCTCGGCATTGATTAAAATGCTACTACCATGGATATATATGTCATCTGGCAAGCAAAGGGGCCTAGTGGGAGACACAGTGTCTGCTTCCTAGCCACCTTGGGTCTCTGTTTCAGGAAAAAGGTGACATATTAAATACACAAACGAGTGCCCTTACTCAGTCGTCCCATGCCAGCTCTGATGTAACCAAAAGTAGAGCTTAGCAAAGAATCCTGCAAATGGATTCTGGGAGTAGTAGTTCAAAAGGTAAGTTTTCCAAGCTCTGACCAAAGTATAAAAATAGCCTGAAGATTTGAGACATGAGCACAAAACATGAGGTATGAGAAATAGGAGCAGCTTGTTCCATTCTACATTCCACACTACATTCTCAGTTTTGCCATGCAGATTATTTAGCACTCATTACTATCCCTGTGGTACAAGGGACTGCGGTAGGCAATAAAGATTGATAAAGACTCGGGCATAGTTTATATATTTCTCTACATACCATGTACTCTACCTATAGGCTGCTGGTGTTCACATACCAGTTTTGAAAGTCATTGTCTCCGTGGGCTTGCTGGGCCTACATTCTCAGTTTTGCCATGCAGATTATTTAGCACTCATTACTATCCCTGTGGTACAAGGGACTGCGGTAGGCAATAAAGATTGATAAAGACTCGGGCATAGTTTATATATTTCTCTACATACCATGTACTCTACCTATAGGCTGCTGGTGTTCACATACCAGTTTTGAAAGTCATTGTCTCCGTGGGCTTGCTGGAACCAGCTTCATTGCTTGCCACCACAGAAAGGGAATATTCAGCCCCACATTCAAGAGATGAGATAGTGCAAGAAGTGAAAGTTGTACTGCAGTTCAGTTTGGAGGTGCCACTGAAGGTTGCAATAGTGTAACTGGAAGCTCCTTCTGATGACATGCAAGAAACAGTAGCTTTCAAAGCTCCACTGTCAAAAACCACTTGAACATCTGCTGGAGCTTGAGGCCCTATAATGTTCAAATATATATATTTAAAGGATTTGACTCAAAGCTACATGGAACAGCACATTTAATTCACTATATATGTGTATGTACCTCTGGTATTAATTTTGCTTTAAATGATTGATGTCAATCATATAAGTAGATGATATTTTCACTCATAATCTGATACAGATAGTGTAAATCTACTCAGGAGCATTAAAAACAAATACTCATTGTATATTTCTCTATCAAATCTATGGGTAGTGAATTAAAATGTTTTTCTTTACCATTATAATAATTTAGATCTGCCTGCCAAACAGCACAATACAGTATATATGTTTTGCTTTCTGCTGTGCCTCTTACTTGTTCTTTGGTTGTATGTGAAGTCATCCCCAGGTATTCCATTACTGTCCCAAGCATGCACCTTGATGGTATAGAGAGTTCCTGGGTCTAGACTAGAAAATGTCAGGGAGCTGTTGGTGGTGTTTTCTTTCAACATGCCGCCCAAACCATCTGATCTCATGATTGAGACAAAGAATCCGACAGCCATATATACAGCTTTCCAGCTCACTACAATATTGTCATAACTTGGGGAATGTGCTACTAGGACTGGTGCAGCAAGCACTGTGAAGAAGCAAATAAAAGTTAATTTTTGGTTCAATTGGATCTTGTCTGTGTGTAGCTACAGACAAGTATTTAACCTGCAATAGTAGCAATACGAATCCAAGGCAGATCTTTCAACATCACAGTAATCCAAGTTTATGCACCAACCACAGATGCTGAAGAGGCTGAAACTGACCAATTCTATGAAGACTTAGAACACCTTCTAGAACTGACATCAAAGAAAGATGTTCTTATTATAGGGGACTGGAATGCTAAAGCACTGGTTCTTAATCTTGGGTTACTCAGGAGTTTTGGACTGCGACTCCCAGAAGCCTTCAACACCAACTGTGCTGGCTGGGGTTTCTGGGAGTTGCAGTTCAAAAACATCCGAGTAACAAAGGTTAAGAACCACTGTGCTAAAGTAGTGAGTCAAGAGATAAAAGGAACAACAGGTAAGTTTGGCCTTGGAGTTCAAAACAAAGCAGGGCAAAGGCTAATAGAGTTTTGTCAAGAGAACAAGCTGGTCATCACAAACACTCTTTTCCAACAACACAAAAGGTGACTCTACACATGGACAACGAGTAGTAAAAGCTGCTACAAATCCCAGAATGATTCCAATCAAAACGCCACCAGTGCCAACTACAAAAAAATTAGCAATTCCAGCAAATACATCAATGGCCTCAATTGTATGCATCTGGCAAAAAGATTTGAACAAGTTGTAGAGGACCTGTAAAGGGAAAAGGTTAAATTTTTAGAATCCTCTTCAGATCATCATAGTGTAACTTTTCCTGGAAATATAAATTATATAATATTAATATATATAATTGCACACAACAGAATAAATTAGAAAGAAATTATAGAGTAGTCGAGAATCCAGTCAGTAATTTATGCATTCGTAATTTAAACCACATAACTCAGTGGAACTAATTACTGCTACCTAAAGAGGACAACCCAGATAGCGTGGTTGCTAACCTTGAGTCAGACATCCTGGAGAGTGAAGTCAAGTGGACCTTAGAAAGCATGGCTAACAACAAGGCCAGTGGAGGTGATGGCATTCCAGTTGAACTATTTAAAATCTTAAAAGATGACACTGTTAAGGTGCTACACTAAATACGCCAGCGAGTTTGGAAAATTCAGCAGTGGCCAGAGGACTGGAAAAGATCAGTCTACATCCCAATCCCAAAGAAGGGCAGTGCCAAAGAATGCTCCAACTACTGTACAGTTGCACCCATTTCACATGCTAGCAAGGTTATGCTCAAAATCCTACAAGGTAGGCTTCAGCAGTATGTGGACTGAGAACTCCCATATGTACAAGCTGGATTTTGCAGGGGCAGAGGAACTAGAGACCAAATTGGAAACATGCACTGGATTATGGAGAAAGCCAGAGAGTTTCAGCAAAACATCTACTTCTGCTTCATTGACTACGCAAAAGCCTTTGACCATGTGGAACACAGCAAACTATGGCAAATTCTTAAAGAAATGGGAGTACCTGACCACCTTATCCTCCCGAGAAATTTATACATGGGACAGGAAGCAACAGTTAGAACTGGATATGGAACAAATGATTAGTTCAAAATTGGGAGAGGAGTACAAGGTTGTATTTTATCTCCCTGCTTATTTAACTTATATGCAGAATACATCATGCAAAAGGCTGGACTGGAGGAATCCCAAGCCGGAATTAAGATTGTCGGAAGAAATATCAACAACTTCCGATCTGCAGATGATACTACTCTGATGGCAGAAAGAGAGAAGGAATTAAAGAACCTCTTGATGAGGGTGAAAGAGGACAGTGCAAAAATGGTCTCCAGCTCAACATAAAAAAACCTAAGATCATGGCCATTGGTCCCATCACCTCCTGGCAAATAGAAGGGGAACATATGGAGCAGTGACAGATTTTACTTTCTTGGGCTCCATGATCAGTGCAGATGGTGACAGAAGCCACAAAATTAAAAGACTCCTGGTTCTTGGGAGGAAAGCCATGACAAACCTAGACAGCATCTTAAAAAGCTGAGACATCACCTTGCCGACAAAGGTCCGCATCATCAGAGCTATGGTTTTTCCAGTAGTGATGTATGGAAGTGAGAGCTGGACCATAAAGAAAGCTGACCACCGAAGAATTGATGCTTTTGAATTGTGGTGCTGGAGGAGACGCCTTGCCCACAAAGGTTTGCATAGTCTTGAGAGTCCCCTGGACTGCAAGGAGAACAAACCTATCCATTCTGAAGGAAATCAATCCTGAGTGCTCACTGGAAGGACAGATCCTGAAGCTGAGGCTCCAATACTTTGGCCATCTCATGAGAAGAGAAGACTCCCTGGAAAAGAGCGTAATGTTGGGAAAGTGTGAAGGCAAGAGGAGAAGGGGATGACAGAGGACAAGATGGATGGACAGTGTCATTGAAGCTACCAGCACGAATTTGGCACAACTCCAGGAGGCAGTGGAAGACAGGAGGGCCTGGCGTGCTCTGGTCCATGGGGTCACAAAGAGTCAGACATGACTTAACGACTAAACAACAAAGTAGCATTAGGTTTGCCATTTACTTGACTTTCGATGCATGCATACATATATGAGGCCAAACAGATGTGCACCTCTCAAGTGTGAAGGGTATGTGTCAAAAACAGCTACAATTAAGTCACAATTCTTTTTAATGTGATTTGGAGTCCAATACTTACATGGCTCCTGACTTTCCAGCAGACCATAATTTACAACAAAGATGCTTCATTGAAAGAAAGAGACTTAACATGACCATATTTAAATCATCCAAATATGATTCAGAAGAACAAAACAAAGGTTGAAATCCTATTCCACAATTTATGCCATGTCAGGTGATGTCATCATTATCAACAATGATGCACTCCCAAGTCAACTACACCAGAGTACAGAGTGCTGTCCTCTGAAGATGCCAGCCACAGAGACTGGCGAAACGTTAGGAAGAACAACCTTCAAAATATGGCCAAAGAGCCCGAAAAACCCACAACAACCATTAGATCCCGGCCGTGAAATCCTTCGTGAATACAACAATACTTATAACTCCTCACTTTCCAGGAAGGCCTACAAATATGAATACAGTTTTATTGTGAAGAATACAAAAAGAGTCCTGCTGGGTCAGATAAAGACCTATCTAGGCCATCGTCCTGTTTTCGACAAAGGTCAACCAGCTAGTTCTAGAGGAACACCACAAGCAGGACATAAGGGAAATAGATGACTCCCCTGTCAGTATACTCTACTAGAGATGGGCATGAATCTTGGTTTGGAGGTTCATGCCAGTTCATACGCGCAGCACCAGAGGTGCTGCACATTGCATTCCCCTGCCTCCCTCACTGGATTCCTCCATTCACCAGCTGTCACATGCACCTCTCTGCCTCCTCTTTGGCTGTTCAACCAGTCTTCAGTAGGAGCATGGGCTTCTCTGCCCCCCCTCCTTGGCTGATCACCCACTCAGACAATGAGACACGAGAGGCAACCCCATGCTCCTGGTCAAACAGCTGAAGAGGAGGAGAGGAGCGTCCTCTGAATATTGAATAGATAATTGGCTGGAGAGGTGGGGCATGGGAATGCATGGCATCTACAGTGCCATGCATATGAACTGGCACTAATCTCCAAACTGAGGCTTCTGCCTATCTCTATACTCTAGCAAATGGTATAAAGAAATATCTTGTGTCTGTTCCTGGAAAACAGCATGCATAATAGTTGACATTACTAGTAGTTTTCCTCCATGAATTTGTTTAGTTTACTTTTAAAGCTGTCTAAAAGGGAGCATTACTACATCTGGTGGTGGGAAATTCAGTTTTATATGTGGTACTGTCTCATGGATCCCTAGATTTTGGGATCCGATTTTATGAGTGTTGCAGCGACCTTGGGTGTCAGAAGGGTCTAAACTGGTCAACAAGAAGGCATTCCCATTATCCATTCTAGGAAGAAAATAGTTTTCCTTCTAAATCCAGATTAGAAGTCAGCTGTAAAGGATCAAGGAAGGATGTAAACAAGTAGACAGTTGTAAATGTATCCTTAATATCTAGCATCTGATGTGTCTATATAAGAGAAAAGATTTTAAATTTACCTGTCTTTGCCTTTCTAGAAGGTGATGGCAGACTTCTTCCTCCAGCATTTATAGATCGGATGGTAATTTTATACAGTGTAGCAGCCCTCAACCCTGTCACAGTGCCTGGTGAATTTGTGACTATTGTTTCAATGAATGACTCTCCATCCTGCGCTGTCAGCAGGTAACTGGATGCTCCTGGGACAGCTGCCCATTCCACTGTGATACTGTTACTCAGCTTTGAATACGCTTGTTCGATAATAGGAATCTCTGGAGCTTAAAAGGGGGAGGAAGAAAGCACAGTTATTTCAAAATGAACAGACATGTCAACATTCAAGGACACGACTTTGCATTGCTGAATGCAACTGATTAGTCTGAGTTTAGGAATGACTGTTCTCTTTAATTCTGTTAAAACAGAACACAGTACTTGAAGCATCATAGAAAACTATGCCTGCCCTCAACAAATTTATTAATTCTGATTCTAGTGGCTTCATAAGGATTCCTGGAGAGTACATGTGTAGGAACATTGTGTGTGATATTTCTGTACATTAGGCAACTCCCCCCCAAAAAAACCCCCACAAAATCACAAAAAGAACAGGTAAAAACACTGTGGCACCTTAAAGATTAATTGCTGTATTTTAATGTGGATAAAGTTTACTTCCTCAGATGTAAGAGACTATGTGACTGTCATATTTGTAAAATGGTATTAACTATTATTATGTTAACTGCAGCAAGATTGATAATTGCAAGGAATTGAAAAAATAATAATCATTTGAGGTTGGAAGAATGGTATAATGAAATGTGGAATGTAGCTATTAATGATAACTTCTGAATTGAAATTTAGAAAAGGATTATTGAAAGAAAATAGTTTTAATTGGATATAGAAAGTTTTGTAGAGCATATATTTACTAAACATAAAGGTTATACCTCAACACAAGAATCATATTTTTGTAATTTGATGTTACTTGTTGCCCCCCAAAAGTAACTTTATTCCTCAGAAGATTTGTTGTTGTTTAGTCGTTAAGTTGTGTCCGACTCTTCATGACCCCATGGACCAGAGCACGCCAGGCCCTCCTGTCTTCCACTGCCTCTTGGAGTTTGATCAAATTCACGTTGGTAGCTTTGATAACAGATAGCTCAAAAGATACTGTAAAGGTAAAGGTTCCCCTTGACATTTTTAGTCCAGTCGTGTCCGACTCTAGGGGGCGGTGCTCATCCCGTTTTCAGGCCGTAGAGCCTGCGCTTGTCCGAAGACAGTTTCCATCGCTACGTGGCCAGCGTGACTAGGGAACACCGCTTTACCTTCCCACCGAGGTGGTACCTATTTATCTACTCGCATTTGCATGCTTTCGAACTGCTAGGTTGGGGAGGAGCTGGGACAAAGCGATGGGAGCTCACTCGGTTGCGTGGATTCGATCTTACGACTGCTGGTCTTCTGACCCTGCAGCACAGGCTTCTACGGTTTAGCCCACAGCGCCACCACGCTGCTGTAACTAGTATCAATTATGATAATATACAAGTACATTTGATCTTAGTACTGCAGTTAGGTAATTTTAGATTTGGAATCAAAACGTCTTATGTCACTACCACCACAGTCAAGTGTATTACTTCACCTTAGTGTAGTTTAGCTCAGTTGCACATAGGGGGAGGGGTCCTGCTCAGTCTGCTGCATCATAGGGCCAATATATCTCCCCAAGAGTCATGAACAATTTTCCCTAGCAAGGGCCATGAACCTCTCTCCTATGTTTTGCCCTGATGACATCACATTGTCACAGGCAAGTGAAGGACATTTTAATTCAAGTCATTTTTAGATTTAATTCAAATAAGGCTGCTTCAGCTATGAGAAGTTTGGAAATACATTGGCAAAGCTAAATATGACAGGGGGGTATAAGGAGAACATCTCACCAAATGGATGGATGTGAGATCGAAAATTAAGAACAAAAAAAAAAAGAATTCAAAATATAAATCTGTACATTGAAGCCAGGAATTGAAGAATAAAATAGAATCTAATAAAATAAATACAGGGTTTCAGAGATCTTGGCCATATTACAGGAGCTGTTCTTTTGCAAGCAGAAGAAGCTATTTCTGAACAATATTCCCATTGTCTAAGGCCAAGGCACTCCTTCATTCAGTGCAATTTCATTTCATTTGATTTTAGAAATCCACTGTGGATTGCACTGTTTTTTGGATCCAGACCTTCATTAAACATAAGCTGAAAGTAATTTACTATCTATATTTCACTTGATGGAAGCTAATGAATGGGATTAACGGACATGGCAGGAAAAGGATTTACTAAGTAAAGTAGAGAGTGCACAGATTGTTTTTACACCATTAAGGGCAAATAGGAAAAGGGGTTCCAGAAATCAGGGCAAGCACTCCAAGGAATCTTAGATACACAGGACAGACTAGGTCACTCTTGCCAAACAGGCTGGCAGCGGCTTTTCAGGATTTCAAGCAACAGCATTCCCAGCTTGAGTTGAAGACGCCAGGCACTGAGCCAGATATATTTTGCATGCAAAGTATGTGCCGGTTTCAGATGATTAACTCTTCTTGGGGTAATAAAGGCATAAGTGGAGAAAGATTTTTTTCCTTTTCATTTCCAGAATGTAAATTCTGTACTCATGATGTAGCAACAAATAAACAAAATAGGTGCATGATTGTTGTTAGTTGTCAAACCCACTGTAAGACTGTCAATCTGAAGAGTACCACGTGGACATCAAGCCAGGGATGTTGCGCTGCAATTCCCATCAGCCCTCCCCAGTATCTGGCCTAACTAGGACTGATGGGAGATGCAGTCCATTGGTTTTTAGAGGTCCCCCAATCTCCATCCCTTGATTAAGCCTCTACCCTCTGGCAGAAGGGGGAACTGCAGAAAAGACCAGCCATACAAACAAAGAAGTTTATTTAGGTCAGGATGAGTTGGGTGGTATTCCTCCCTGCTAGCTGTTCCTTATTTATGTATTACATTAATACCCTACCTTTCTACAAAAAATATTTTATTTATTTATTTATTGCACTTATATGCTGCCCATCTAGACATTGTCTACTCTGGGCGGCTCACAACAGACAAGATAAAAACAGTTACTACATAATAGCAGTTTTACAACATTATGAAAATGTGCTCAAGATCTCTTACAAAGTTGTTAAAAATGAATTAAAAACAGATAAAACCAAATTCATGGCAACAGCTGTCTTTTACTAACCTGTTAACTGCATAGTCTGTGCTTCAGCTAATATAACTCCATTCTTATCAATGGCTTCTACCTTTACAGCGTGGACAGTGTTGGGAGCCAGTGATGCAAGAGTGCCTAAAAGGGTGACATCATTGAAAGAGGCCAATGAAGAGTGGCCCACAGTGTTTGTAGGTGTTGCCATGACTCTATAAGAAAAGGCTCCAGGAAATTTGGGCCATCGGAAATAAATAGTTCTTGAGGTCACATCGTATATAGATACTGTGAATGCTGCAAAAATATATAAACATCTCACATTTAATTTCCATCTCAGCTGTAAAAACAAGACACTGCCTACAATCCCAGGTTAAAATGTGATCTGAACTCAAAGTCACCTGGTTGGTTTAAACAAACCCTCTCATTTTGGGCAAAGTACCTTGTTCCTTAACCAAAAAAAAAAAAAAAAGGTAATAAAATTGCCCTTCCTTGCAGGGTAATTATAAGACTTACAACGAGTATGCCTGCCTGCTCAAAAGTAAGCCTTATTACTTTCAACAGACCAATGGGTATAACAGGGACAGCCAAACATTTGTACTTCACATGGCACTGGATGGCCCAAGGTATCATACAGATCACTGACAACTACGCTTCGCCCACTCCTGGTATACAGGACAATCATATGAACGAGAAAATGTAGATCAAACACTCACAGAAAGCACTGTGTAAACACTAGAAACTATTACTATGCAGTGACTCTAACCACCATTTACTTATTGTTGATGACAGATTTATAGGTTACTTCCCCCATATAAATGAATGCAGGTGACTGTGTGTGCCCCCTTTTGATAACCTTTTTATTATACTTATTATTGACTGATGGTAGAGTTCTACCTCGCAGTCTTACCATCTTCTGAAAGCTTGAACACTTGTGCTTTTAATCCATGTGGACAATACTCAGAATTACAGGGTTAAAGGTAAAAGCAAAAGAGAAATATAATGTAAAAAAAGACAAAAATGTGGTGACATGTTCTTATGTCTGATGAAGTAGATTTGTCTACGATAGCTCACATTAAAAAAATATAAAAGTCTTGAAGGTGCCACCACATTTTTGTCTATTTTTACTTTTTATTTCTGTTTTGCTTTTACCTATACTACTTGCACAAACTAACAAGATTACCCCTTGTACAGCAATTGCAGGGTGACAGTTATGGTCCTTCATCCAGGTGAGTTGAGTTTTGGTGGAGCATATCTAACTGAGGAATGGATTTTCTAGGAGAAAACTTTGAGCAGCACCCCAACACTACATGGGGGGGCAGATGAGTAATACTTTATAGTAAGCAGGATCTGCCTCTTTAGCAAATTAGCTAAATGGCAACTCCTTCTCCTTTATGAATGGGCAGGGTTTCTTTCAGCCAGGTAGATTTGGCTGGAATAGGTTGCTTTACTTTCTACAGTGAGTATAACTTGCTGTGTTACTTTACTTGTACAGCTGCTTGTAATACTGTATATATAACTATATACATATGGGTGAAGCTGTATCCCTAAAGGAAAGAAATGAACATCACAAACCACCACTACAAAATAAGAGCAGACTTTTTTAGTAATAGTTGCAATTAAGAGCCCTACCACTCCTGTTAATTGTAGTTGGAAATTATTTTAGTATCAAAGTATTCAATCAAACAAGTGCAAATAGCTGGACTAGGTTTTTAAACCTTTTAAATGGCCAACAAGTATCTCATGGACTAATTTTACAATTAGAACTTTAAAAATATAGTACCTCTCATTTTTACCTTGCTATCCCCTTCCTCTCTCTTCCCCCAACACATACATCTTGTCACACTTTATTAATACTGTATTATGAATGTATGTTGAATGTGATTTGTACTTACTACTTCTATCTGATAGTTGAAAAATTTACATTTATAAATTAAAATTAAGCAATATTTAAAGACATATTTTCCAACCTTACTCAGTTCTAAAAGAGCTACCAGACATAGGTTTTCATTATATACGCATGTTCATTTACAAGAAACTGTAAAATGAGAATATCTTTCATATTTTACCTGTATTAGCTGAAATAATCTGTAAAATAAGATTCACACAATTAGTATGAGAGTGAAATACTTATTTCAGATGTTCTTCCCTAATAGCAGAGTCCTAAGTAGTTTATGTAGAATTAACTCGCAGTGTGTTCTTTGGGTTTTACTATCATGCCCAGTCATGAGCTTTGGGGAAATAGAGCATTACATATACAGTACAAAATATTTTTCTCTTTAACTATAATGCCTCATTTTATTTTGACTGGTTAAATACACATAGATATATACATCAATTGTAGACCTATTATGGGATTTGGTATATCCCACTACTAATTAACCTCCCCTTCCTGAATCTGCCTATGAACCTGAAAGGGAAGTTTTCCAAATGCTGACAGATTGGCAGGCCAAACACAAATATTACTTGGATGTAATTTGCTTTACTTTGAGTGGGAGCTTTGTCCTCTTAATCTTCCAAGTCTGATAAGAAATAGCAATAAATAGTAAGAAATAGTCTGATAAGAAATAAGAAGTATCATGGCACTCATCATCCAAGCCCTAATAATAAGATGTGTATTTCAATGTGAATAGGGACATACAACGTATCAACCCTCATCTTGTTTTTATGAATCAGTTATGGCCTGCAATTACTTCTATATCAGAGCCAAAATACTTCAAACTATAGCATAAAGGATCTTTGGTTCACATTCCAGTTAAACCGGACTGTTCGGTTTATCACTTGCTTGCATTAACTAAAATAAACTATCTGACTGAATTAATAAGACATACGGGAGATCACAGCAGAAAACAAACTAGGAACAAATATGCAAAAATACCCAAACAATATACAAAATCACAAGGCTAGGCTTTTCTCTCCCTGCGACTGCTTGTGATGGTATACCTGTATTCTACTAACAGTATGAGATTGCATAAATCAAAATTATATGTTATTAGGGTCACAGGCAAAATGTATCTTTATGTTAATTTTAGAACACAGACAGCTCAATCTACAACTATAGTATACCTTTATAAGTGTTTGTGGATTCAGCTGCCTGCGTCCTAAAATTACCATACAGATGTATCTTGTTGTTGCATAATTCCAGAAAAGGACAACATCTAAAGAATGCAATGCAAAGAAATAATTCACTAATAAATGAGCAAGTTAATCCATTGCACAATATTACTTTTCTTAATTAAGATCAAAATTATTTCACTCACCATTTTAAAACTGAAGAGCAGTATTCCAGAAAACAATACATGTTTACAACTTGTAGCAATCATTTTTCAAACTGAGCCCAGTCTCCTGTTCACTTATGAATAAAAGATCACCATCCAAACGTAGGCAGAAATCAGGTACCTAACAATATTAGTCTTTGAGGAAGTGAGTCTGTAGCCCCGCCTCTTGTCACATCTACTGTATAAAGGTTGGAATGCAATTTTAGTACTACAGTTAAGCCATTTTTCCTACTTTATTTAATTAAATATAAATATTTATGATGAACACATAGCTGAACACAAAAGCAAATGTTACTCTCTCTTCCCTTTCCTGTGTCATGCATCATTTTACTGAATGACACAGGAACATATCTGAGCTCTCGAGTGGTAGTGGTTCCAGTTGCATACAGTGTCATCCAACTCATGTCTACTCAGATGCAAACACACTAGCTTCAATAGGATGAACGTCTAGATAAGTGCTGGGCTTTAGTCCTGTTCTTGGAAGTAAGTCAGATTGAATAGAGACTTATTCCTGAGTAGACATGCGGACAAACCGCAAGAAGTCATGTGGCTAGTAATGTATTTTCAGGCAATGTAGCAGTGCAGTTCTTAATAAATACAAAATTAATTCTGAGTGAAGGACATTCTTCAGTCAAAAGCATTAATTTTGTAAGTATTAAGAACTACACTGCTGCATTGCCTGTAAATACATTACTTGTCCTCCCTTCTCTTTGTATTCAGGCTGTATATGGACCTGGTGACATGGCTTTGCTGGAGCAGGCTAAATAGATACAATGCATATGTGCTGCCCTAATAAACTTTAAATGTTCCTTCCCCACTGTCCTTGGCCCCTCCATGGAGCTGGGAAAGTGTTTAATTTGCCAATATCTTGAAGTGGCTCTCTTCTCAAGGCACTTCAGGATGCTGGCAAAGTGACAGGGGTAAGCTAATTTTTGGATTGTTTCCAGTGATCACATATGCTGGAAGTGAACCAAACCAGAGCAATCATACCCTCACCAAAGTAGAAGCCAGAGGTCAAAAAGGTGTGGATAGGGCCACTGTGGATGTGGGCCAGTTTGCTCCAGCAAAGACTTTGTCAGAACATCTGAACCAAACAGAAAGTTAAATGTCAGTGTCAGCCCCTATATCTACTACAGTAGTGTGAAAAAGGAAGTACACTCTTTTAAAATTCTATGGTTTTACATATCAGGACATAATAAAAAATAATCTGTTCCATAGCAGATCTGAAAATTAGGTAAATACAATCTCAGATGAACAACACATGACATATTACACTGTGTCATGATTTAGTTTACAAAAATAAAGCCAAAAAAAATGGAGAAGCCATGTGTGAAAAACTAAATACAGTGGGGCCTTGATTTACGACCATAAGTCGTAAGTCAAGTGGTGCCTCAATTTACCACCATAATCCGCTCCAGAAAATGGACGTAACTCGAAATGGTCGTACGTTGAAGCACCATTTCCTATAGGAATGCATGGGAACACGATTAATCCGTTCCAGCTAACCCACCCACCCCAAAATAAAAATGAAACACTACAAGCCCCATAGGAACACACTGGGGCTGCAAACACCAAAACAAAACCCAAAAATAAACATCGGAGCAAGCCCCATGCTGAGACTGCAAATAAAATAAAATAAAATATTTTAAAAATCACCAAAAACAACACAGCACAGAAACATAAACCCCCCAGCCCAACCCACCCTGAAAAACCCAGAACAGTTTTTAAAAAGCAAAAAGCAGCACCTTACCTTACCAGGCAGTCCGAAGCCTCATCCAATCACACTCACTCCCCGGCTGCAGCCGAGGTGACAGTGGGACTGGCCATGGTGGAGGGCGAGGCCAGGGCAAGCGGCCGGAGCACTCTGACCAGGAGGAGCCTCTCCTTTCAGCTCCTGGAGAGGTGGATTGCAGGGAGAGGTGCGGGTGGGGCCATGACAGCGGCCTGGGCCAGGCTCATCCTACCGGTGCCGGGCTGCTGCCGCCCCATACTCTGTCCACATAGGAGCTGACAGTGGGACTGGCCATGGTGGAGGGCGAGGCCAGGGCAAGCGGCCGGAGCACTCTGACCAGGAGGAGCCTCTCCTTTCAGCTCCTGGAGAGGTGGATTGCAGGGAGAGGTGCGGGTGGGGCCATGACAGCGGCCTGGGCCAGGCTCATCCTACCGGTGCCGGGCTGCTGCCGCCCCATACTCTGTCCACATAGGAGCCTGTCAGGTGTCCTCCCGGTGCTGGGCTGCCGCCGCCCCATACTCTGTCCACATAGGAGCCTGTCAGGTGGCAGTGGCGCTGCTTCCATGTTGGCCAGCTGGCCAGGCCTGGCAGAGCCTCTTGCCGCAGGAGCGGGAGGCAGCGCTGAAGGAAGCCGTGCGGCGGGGCAAACACTGTTGCCACCCAATTGGTTCCTCCAGGGATGGGGAGGGGATGGGGCATGTGGCGGCAGTGGCCCGGCGCCGGGAGGCTGAGCCTGCCCTGGGGCTGCGGCGGCCACTCCCTTTCAAATCAAGAGGGTAATGTCGACCCTAAAAAGTTCCCTGACTCCTCTTCTAACTGTTGGAGGGAAAGGGCTACTGTACAAAGAAGCAGCCTCTTCGCCACCAACGGTTAGCAATTTGAATTTCCCACCTTTTCCCCCTGTGTTTTTGTGTTCATAAATGGAAGCTCCAACCACAAGTCGAAGCAAAATTTTGCAGCCGGAGCTGGTCGTAAAACGAAATGGTTGTAAGTAGGGACGTATGTAAGTTGAGGCACCACTGTACACCTTATGATTCAGTTGCTTGTAGAACCAGTTTTAGTAGCAATAACTTGAAGCAATCGTTGTCTGTATGACTTCTATCAGTCTCTCACATCGAAATTTTGGTCCACTCTTCTTTACAATACTGCTTCAGGTCATTGAGGTTTGTGGGCATTTATGTACAGTTCTCATAAAGTCCCATCACAGCATTCCAATCAGGTTGAAGTCTGGACTTTGACTGGGCCTTGCAACATTTTGATTCTTTTATTTTTCAGATATTTTGTTGTAGATTTGCTGGTGTGCTTGGGATCATTGTCCTTTTGCATGACCCTATTTCGGCCAAGCTTTAGCTGTTAGACAGATGGTCTTACATTTGATTTGAGTACTTTGGTATACAGAGGAGTTCATTATTGTTTCAATGACTGCAGGATGCCCACATCCTATGACTGCAAAACAAGCCCAGATCATTACCTCTCCACCTGTGCTTAACAACTGGTATGAGGTGTTTGTGCCGATGTGTTTGGTTTTCACCATGCATTATGGCCAAACATCTTCACTTTGGTCTCGTCTGTCCAAAGGACATTGTTCCAGAAGTCTTGTGGTTTGTCGAGATGCAACTTTGCAAATCTAACCCATGCTGCCATTCTCTTTTTAGAGAGAAGAGGCTTTCTCCTGGCAACCTTTCCAAACCAGCCATACTTGTTCAGTCTTTTTCTAATTGTGCTGTCATGAACTTTAATATTTAACATGCTAACAGGCCTGTAGAGACCGAGATGTAACTCTTAGGGATTTTGCAATTTCTCTGTGCATTGTCTGGTCCGACCTTGTGGTGAATTTGCTTGGATGCAACTGTCTTAAATGTTTTCCCTATGAACAATCTTCCTCTCTGTAGAATGATCTACCTTAAATTCTTTGGAAATGACCTTGTAACCCTTCCCAAATTTATGGGCAGCAACAATTACTTCTTTATGTTAATTGCTTATGTGTTTCCTCCTTGGCATTGTGTTAACACACACCTGAATGCTCCAGAACAGCAAACGGCTAAAACTTCAGATTTTATAGAGGTGGTCACACTTGCTGATGATCAATTACTCAAGGGTATTTTGATAGCAGCACCTCACTGCTGCTTAACCTCTTAATTTCTATGGAACCAGTAAGGTTGTACTTAGTTTTTCAGACATGGCTTTTCCATTTTGGCTTTATTTTTGTAAAATAAATAATTACACATTGTAATGTGTCATGTGTTGTTGTTCATCTGAGGTTGTATTTGCCTGATTTTCAGACCTGCTAAGGATCAGCTGATTTTTATTATGCCCTGATATATAAAATCATAGAATTCAATAAGGGTGTACTTTCTTTGTCATAATTGTATATGGGGATAGTTTGTGATCTAGATGGATAGTTTCACCCCAAAATGTCAGGTCACTAGCCACCTATACTGTATATTTCTGTATGTGATTTATTTTTTTCATGCATGTTTAGAACTTAACTATATTCTAAGTATTCACTGTGTGATCCAACTTATTTATTTTGTAGAACATGTAAATATTATTATTTTGTATGTCATTCTGTTTTATGTTTTCTGTACACTGCTATGCAATATTCAGATCTGAGTATGCATATATATATGTACATAAAAGGGAGCTCTGGACAGGAGAGATTAAGACTTATCCTTTAGTAAGGCATAAAACTCCTTCTGGGGAGGGGGAATAGCTGCCCCAGATGACTACACCTCTTGTCATTGTCAGTACTTTTGGATTGAGTTTCTCTTTCATCTAAAAATCTAATTCGCAGCTGTGTGTACTATATAACCCTACTCATGCATTAGTATTTCAATATTCTCATCACTCTGAGAACCAGTGTGCTGTAGTGGATTAAGAGTTGAACTAGGACTTGGGAGACCTGGTTTCAAATCTCAGCTATGGCATCTCATATTTTTTTAAAAAAAACATTAGGCAGGTTAGAAGCAGACTGATTGCACATAACAACAAATACAACATGTTCAGGAGGAGCACTGTTGGCCTAGTCTCCTTTGTCTCTTATTTAATTGTTGTGAATGCATGAAGGGCAACAAGTCTGAACAAGAAAGCCTCCGCTATCTATAGGGCTCCCACAGGAATGGAAACCTAGAAAATCAGAGTTCCAATTCTTTTGAGAGCCCTGCTAGCTTAGTGTAGGCTCTCCTGTTCAGAGTTGTTACTTCCGACATCTTCAGGGTGAAGGAAACTACAACAGGAATGGCAGAGCATGTGAATATGATTTGCATATACCTGAAATATCTAGAATGTCAACAATCTTATACCTCTGATGTTGTGGGCCAGAGTCCACAAAAGCTCACACTGTATTAGATGTGTTTGAGCTAAATCCAGCTGCTTATCTCTGCCAGCACAGAACCTTTGAATCAATCTCATCTACCACATTCCATTCATTTCAATGGGACTACTCCACATGGGATGAACAATGGAACATAGCTGTGAATCTTGAAGGTGTCACAGATTCTTTATTTAATGATACAGACGAACAGGACCACTCCTCTGGAAAATGGAACAAGTCATGACACAGAAAATGCATTGATGTACAGTACCACAGACCAGGGATGGGGACTCAATTAGCTGGACTTGCTGTCAAGTTGGACTTAAGTCGCAACAATGACTCAACTTGGGTTTTTTTCACCCAATGACTCGGACTCAACTTGAGACTCAGAACCAATCCACGTCCTTCATTTTTTTTTCTTGAGGCTTGGGACCTGGGACTAAAGACTTGGGATTTTTTACTTGGACGCAAGGACTTGCCAACATCCTTGCCACAGACCACTCCAGTTTCCTTATTAAATCATTATACCACCTTGGCAGCCAGAATCCTAAAAGACTAGGAGGGCACTCCTCCTGTTTAACCTGAAGCACAAGATTTTTACTACCTCACCAAACTACAAATCCCAGGATTTCTAAGGGGGGGGGGGGAATCATGGTATTTAAAATGCTTTCGAAGTGCTCTAACCGTTTTAAGTGAGAAAAAAAAAAGCTCCTAGTCTTGTGGCACCTTCAAGACAAAAGCATTTATTACGGCATAAGCTTCTGCTTCCATTTAGTGGCCTCTAAGGGGGGGGGATCATGGTATTTAAAATGCTATTGAAGTGCTCTAATCGTTTTAAGTGAGAAAAAAAAAACAGCTCCTAGTCTTGTGGCACCTTCAAGACGAAAGCATTTATTACGGCGTAAGCTTCTGCTTCCATTTAGTGGCCTCTATAAAAACTGATGCCAGAATAAATACATTCAGCTTCAAGGCGCCACCAGACCCCCTTTTCTTTATTTCTTTTTTGGCCACAACAACACACTAGCACGACAATCCCCTTGAAACTTAGAACAATGACAGGCTTGTTGAAAAGGGACAAAGCAGATAGTTTCCTCAATCACTGCCGGTGCTCCGCCAAGAAATTTCGCTATGGCAGAGGGAGAGATGTTTAGGGCACACACCCCCACCTCCTGCAGCGAGGCGCGCTTTCTGGCCGTGAGAAAGCCAAGGGCATGGCACCCCCTCAGGTCAGCATTTTTCCTCCCGCAAACACGACAAGGTCGGTCTATCTATCTCTCGCACCCCTTTTTCTGCTTCCCTCAGCAGCTTCGCCCACAGCCAGCTCCCTAGTAAAGGCGGCACCGAACCTGCAGGATGAGGGGCGTGGCCTGCCGGGAAGGAGGCGGGGCCTGAGTGGCCTTCTCCTCCAAGAGTGCGGAATTTGTTTTCTGTCACGTCGAGGGCAGGGGAAGTAAGATGGCGCCGGCTGCGAGTGGAGACCGGGGACTGAAGAGCCTGGTGTGGCAGAGTGAGTGCGGGGGAACTGCCGCGTTCGTTTTCTTTCTCCTAGCTAACCTTCTCTTACGCCTAACATATTAAACAGCAACCACCACCGTCGTATCATTTAAAGAATCCGGCATAACGTAGCGAGGTGGTCCTTTTTCTGCTTGGTTTTCCTACGATGACTGCCGGAGGCCACTCCTGTATGTCCGAGGAACTAAGGAAAAGAGAGGGGATGGTGGGTTTGGTGCAGGCATGCATTGGGGTGACGGCTTTCGTGAGAGAACACGGTAGCCGCGGGTTGCCGGGTTATCTTCTCTCTCTCTCTCTCTTTTTTTTTGAGGGGAGGGTAACCCCTCAACCCTTCAGTCCTACCTTCGCGGGCCGGCAAAGGGAGTGAGGGGGGAAACGGGTGAAGGGGTTCCTTGGATTCCTACTTTTCTACAAGGAAGCCTTTCACCTGCTAAATATCCGTGTGCAGGGTTGCTATCTAAAAAGGGTCGGAAGGTGAGGGGTTTTTTTTTGAAACAAGAAGACAATGGCAATCTTACTCATTTTTCCCCCTCGGCGAGGAATTATTTCAGATTTGTTTTTAAAAATCCACATTTCGGCAATGAGAATAGGTTGGAAAACTGAGGTTACTCCAGTGAGCATTGTGGGTGATAATGGGGATTTGAACTTCAGTCCTAGGTGTAAATCCAATCTGATTAATTTTAGTAAGGAATGAGCATGGGACGGCAACGTCCTGTGTTTGTTGCTAATGCTGAGGGGCAGAATCTAGTGGAGAGATGTTAGATGGGTTGGGTTTTAGTAAAAAGAAAAGGACATATGTATTGGAATCTAGGCAGGGATAATGAATGAATATTTTAACACAGTCAATGACAGTAATGAAAAGTTCGCTGAGGAAGAAAACAGAGAAAGTGTTGGACTTGAACAGGAAGGATGATACAAAAAATTAACAGGCATTTTTGTTGTTCAGGAGGCTTATAGATGGTATGTGTCTCAGATATGTTCCTTAAAGCTATGGGTTTATATGGCTTTGTGGTAAGGGTGTAAATCCTTAATCCTGTGCTCGTGGTGAATGAGATAATGCAAAAGATTTTCTGCCCACTGTAAGATGAAGAGAGTTTGTATACATGCAATTTTTTAAAAAAATGCATGGTACTTAAAACTGTGATAATAATTACCATCTATGGATTAGATTTTTTAAAAAGTAGCACTGGACTGTCTGTATCTTTATGATCAATCAGCATACCCTTTCATTTTTGCTGTTGTTCAAGCTGACAAAGGGAAAATACATTAGTTTTGCCTGAGTCATTTTTGCACAACTTGTTCAGGAGAGGAAGAAAATGTGTGCTTGATGTTCTGGTTTCACACTGGAGTCAAGATTCTTTGCAGGGTTTGGGAATCCTCAGCCAGCTCTCTTACTGTGTTTAGACTCAATATAGCCCGTTTTCGCCAGAATGAAGACTTTTTTTACATTCCAGTCCTAATAGATGAAATAGTAGGGATGGTATGATTTGTGACCAAAGGGGCACATTTTTAAAATGTTCAGTTGAATGTATCTTTGTCCTGCTTGTACTTGGATGCTGAGGGTAGGATTTATGAGTCAAACTACGTAAAACATTAATGACAGGATCTGTCAGTCTCAACAAGCGTAAACTTGTTGAGTTGGTAGGGTTTAAATTAGTGTTGACTTGCCATTCAACAGTTAATTCAATATACTGTACCTCACTTTATAGTGTGCAGCGCCACAAGAAAAGACCCGGGATGTTTAACCCACCATCATTTTCCCTTGTCCTAGTCCAAGGGCTTAAAGTTGCTGATTTCAGTACATAAACTTTGCTACCTCTGTACAGAATTGGACTGCACATTTGCTTTTGTCATCTGCGCTGTGTAATTTTTTTTAGCAATTTTTTTTCTGCATGTGGGGTGACCTGAAAACAAAGTGATGCTGAATGATTTATTTTCTCTCCTGCTGTTCAACACATAATAAGGAGGCTGTTACCATTGTTTTCTGTGTCCTCATTTGTTTCCTGCTTCTATTTCTCATGTGATATAATGTTTCCTCTCTAGTTCTTTGAGCACTTAAAAATAAATTGGGACTCGTTGTGAGTGTTTTGGGGCAAAGGAACTTGACATTTTCTGTGAGCAACTGTCAAAATTCACCCATGATTTTAGTTATTCTGATACAATAGAATCTAGAGTTCCCTAGAAGTATTCATTTATATGGGGACCTTGAGATCATGTACTAGAAACTAGTAGTGTTATATTATTTAGTGGTAGGTAGTTTTGCTCTATCTTGCTTACAATGCTTCAGGCATCCTGACCGTGATAACAAAGAGTACAGTACAGTGGACCCTTGACTTACAGACGGCTTGACTTACAGACTTTTTGAGTTACAGACTTCTCTGGCCGCAAAATTTAGGTTTGACTTGCAGCCTGAGAATTGACTTACAGACCAGAAAAAAACCAAAATGGAAAAAAAACGGCCTGTTATGGGATTAATCGGTTTTCAATGCACTGTAGGTCAGTGGAGACTTGACTTACAAACTTTTTGACTTGAGAACCGCCTTCCAATACGGATTAAGTTCTCAAGTCAAGACTCCACTGTATAAGGAAATTCTTACCCATTGATGGTTAGAGTCTTTGTGGAACTTTACTGCAGACTGTAATTGAATGTTGGTGGAGGTTCTTGTTAGTAATGAAGAAATGGCCTTGGTCAGCAATAGCTCCTATTTTGAGTGTTTCTGGCATAGAAGTTCTCAGAGAAGGACATCAGGAATGACACTATGCAGATATCTGTTTCTAATTATTTCAGTCTACTAGGACACTCTTCATATGATTTGAAAGTTGCTATTTTGGAATCAGAAAAATTATAAAACGAAAATCCAGAGGGGAAACAGCTGAAATAAAATATATGCATATGCTTTAAAACACGTTTCAATGGTTTAAATACTAGCCAGGGATTCTTAAGCCATTAATAGTACCATATTTTTCTGTGTATAAAACAATACTTTTTCCTAAAATAATTAAAGAAAAAACTGAGAGTCGTTTTATACTCGGAAATAAGGAGGGGAGTGGGATCAAAGTGCTTTGATCCTTGCTTTCCCCCTCCATGTTTTGCAAAGAAAATGGAGGGGGAAAGTGATTCCTACTTTCCCCCTACATTTTCATTGCAAAAAGTAGCTTTCCCCCTTCACCTTTTGCAAAGAAAATGGGAGGGGAAGCGATTTCTACTTTCCTGCTACATTTTCATTTCAAAACATTTGCAACGAAAATGTAGGGGGAAAGCAGAATTTGCCTTCCGCCTCCACTTTTGTGCAAAGAAAGAAATTTTAGGTTAGAAAAGTTGGTGTGGGTGTGTCTTTTACAGGGGGTGTCTTATACATGGGAAAATACAGTAATAATCATGCGCTGTAAGTCTATTCTGACATATGGGAACACTTATCAGGGTTTTCCAGGTAAAGAATGAAGGATGGAATGCTGAATCAACCTCAAGTCAGCTGCCTGAAACTGCTGAGCTCAAATGCAGGCTGTGAACATATTCAGAAGCAGTTTACCATTCCCTTCTTCTAAGGGCACCCTAGGACTATGCAGCTTGCCCAAGGCCACACAGGCTGGCTCTACTCACAGGAGACACAGTGGGGAATTGAGCTCCCAACCTCTTGCTCTGCTGCCAGATACCTAAACTATTTAGCTATCAAATGTGAAATACCACAATAATTTTGTTGTTATCCATTGTCATTTTCCACAGCCAAGTTCCTTTCCTATGATAAGCCAGCCTTACAGAATATGCTTCATAGGTAAAGTCAGTGATTTTTAGCTCATTATCACATGCTGTTTCTGCTATAGTTTTCTATAGACTGGTGCTCCTTTGCCAACTAATCATTGTTGCTCTTTAGAAAACAAAGCTTCAAAAGAAAATAACTGAATGCCAAACAAGGATCTTAAGTCATTACAGGAATGCTATAATGATTCAACTTGATTTACAACTTGAATATACAGTACCAATCTCCATGTCTCTTTATACAGTATTAGTCATGCATTAATATTTTGCCATGCAGTCTCTGTATTCTTATAAGTATGAAGAAGTAGACTTGTTCCGCAAAAGCTCACATTAAAATATAGCAAGTGCCACAAGGCCTCTGTTGTTGATTTGCTTTTGTTTTGTGATTCTTGTTGATACGCTTGCACAGACTAACATGACTACCACTTTGAAAACATAGTTGAGATGTTTTATTTATTTATTTAACTTATATGCCGCCCACTCTACCCAAATGTCTCTGGGCGGCTTACAACAATTAAAATACAATTAAAATATATACTCTAAAAATTGCCATCAGGATCCACAGTTGATATTATTTCAATTAAAAGCCTTCTGGAACAGAAAGGTTTTGACCTGGCACTGAAATGCTCCCTGGCTAAATCTTAACTGCTGGGCAGGTGCATATGGAAGGTGGCGGCCCTTCACGTATCCAGGGCCCAAGCTGTTTAGGGCTTTATAGGTCAAAACAAGCACTTTGAATTGGGCCCGGGCAGCAACTGGTAGCCAATGTAATTTAAACAGAATTGGCTTGATATGTCCCCTAGTGGCCCCACCACTTACCAGCTGCGCAGCTCAATTCTGGACCAGTTGCAGTCACCAGACCGTCTTCAAAGGCAGCCCCACATACAGCGCATTGCAGTAATCTATACGAAATGTTACCAGTGTGTGTGTAACTGTCATGAGACTCCGCTCATCCAGGTAGGGCCGTAGCTGGTATAATTTCCACCTGGGCTTCCAGAGTTAGACTGGGGTCCAGGAGCGCCCCCCCCCCCAGACTGTGGCCCCTGTCCCTTAGGGGGAGTGTAACCATTCAGGGCAGGGAAATGGCGCTCTAGCCTGTCTGGCGTAGCACCAACTAACAGCACTTCCGTCTTGTCTGGACTGAGTTTCAATTTATTAACCCTCATCCAGTCCATTATCAGGTCCAGACATGAGTTCCGCCTCACCTGGATTGGTGGAAAACGAGAGGTAGCGCTGAGTGTCATCAGCATATTGGTGACTTCAATAGGATGTTGAAATCCTATTGTCCTATGAGATTGTGTAAAAGCCGTCATGCTAGTGGCACGCACCCATCTTTGATTATATCAACTATCTTGTGCTCTGTCCCACAATAGACAATCTAGGAAACAGAAAGATGTTGACAGTCTAGGAAATAGAAAACTGTTGCCCTTTTGCACAAAGGAAAATGCAGTAGGATTTAGGCTGCAAAAACCGTAAGACTGCAGTGCTTTAAAGATGTTCTAATGGATGTGATTTGTCTTCACATATACTTATTGATAGTGTTCTTGGATAAACAGTTCAGTTTAGATACTGGAATTAATTAATTAAAAATTAATTGGCTATACATAACTTGATATGTACACTGGAATATACATTGATGCATTAGATATCATTAATTTCAGAAAACCTCCAGTGCTATCTAGAGAACCAGAGTCACTAATAAACCTTATGTCTGGTTAGTAGTAGAAGTTGTTTGTGGATATTTATTTTATTTGTCTTATTAATAGGCTGCGTTTCTCATATCAAGGGGACTCAAGCTAGCTCACAGTATTAAAAAGAATAGAATTAAAAACACAGTTAGATATACAGTAGAACCAATTAAAATACATTTAATATTTAAAACAGATAAACCATTAAAACTATCATTTTCAAATACAGTAGTTTCTAAAGTCAAATTGTGTTAATGTTAGAAGCAGCTATTAGACACAGTATGTTGGAATACACATTCATAAATAAAATATCTGCAGGAATAATTGTCTTTGTCTAAAAGATTGAGAAGACCACACCAAACATTGTGCAGAGCTTTCTATTTTTTGCTTCTTGTACGATGATGGATTGGAGAGTATAACTGAATATAATTCATATAATAATATAAACAAACAATCTAGAAGTAAAGAGAGAGAGATGCACTACATGGAGAATTTTCAGATATGTTTGTGCATTTCTCTTGTGCTCTTCTGTTGCTTATTTTTGAATTTTTTTAATGCAAAGAGATATAGTTTGATATTGCTAAAGAATATAATTTTTTTTAAAAAATGAAATGAGCTTATTTGTAGTGTCAAGCTCTTTCCTTATAGAACTGGAGTTCTATCACATTGTTACAATACTGCTATTTTATTTTCAGAGCTGAAAACAGCAGTATTTGATGACTGTAGAAAGGAAGAAGAATGGAAGGTAAGGCTAACGTTAAATTGCTTTTATTACAGGTAATAATTTACAAAACAAAGCTTCCAAAGGAAATAACTGAATACCAAACAGGGATCTTAAGTCATTACAGGTGTAAATGCTACAGTGATTCATACTATTTACAACTTGATTTTATTTTACAACAGTGCACTATAGATTTATTTACAACAGTTTGTAACTGATGTTTTTTTATAAACATTTATTTAAGGAACGTTGCAGTGTATAGTTTAGTTTACAAACTGATTGTAATAAAAATTGTATTCAGCTACCAGTGTCACTTAACAAACTTTGGTGCCAATTAAGTAACAGTGGTAACTGAATACAAGTTTTCTAGCAGCATCACCATTCTCTTCTTTCTTAGAAATAATAATACTAGTTTTTAACTCTACTACACTTCTAAATGCAAGTGTTTTTTGTTTCAGTGAAACTCAATGGAACATTAATCTTTGACTGAAAGTTTCCTTTCCCCAGAATTCAGGTCAAAAAATAGGTTATCGAGCCATAGGTGTGCATCTATAGTATAGTATAGATGCATACCTATGGCTCTATAACCTATAGATTCTATACTGTATAGATTCTATCACCTTCACGGATTGCTGCCTTTTCGTGGCGAAGGGGCTTGAGTAATTCAGAGAAGCTCCCGGCTATGTCGTGCAGGGACACCCAAGATGGACAGGTCATTGTGGAGAGTTCTGACTAAACACAATCCCCCTGTAGCAGGAACTGGCAAGCCACTCCATTATCTTTGCCAAGAAAATTCCATGGACAGAAAAAACGCTGAAAGATATGATGCTGGAAGATGGGCCCCTCAGGTCGGAAGGCATCCAACATGCTACTGAGGAAGAGCGGAGGACAAGTACAAGTAGCTCCAGAGCTAATGAAGTGGTTGAGCCAAAGCTGAAAGGACGCTTAGCTGTGGACTCGCCTGGGAGTGAAAGGAAAGTCCCATGCTGCAAAGAAGAATACTGCATAGGAACCTGGAATGTAAAATCTGTGAACCTTGGTAAACTGGATGTGGTCAAACAGGAGATGGCAAGAAGAAACATTGACATCCTGGGCGTCAGTGAACTAAAATGGACGGAAATGGGCGGATTCAATTTAGACAATTACCATCTCTACTATTGTGGGCAAGAATCCCGTAGAAGTAATGGAGTAGCCCTCATAGTCAACAAAAGAGTGGGGAAAGTTGTACTGGGATACAATCTCAAAAATGATAGAATGATTTCGATACGAATCCAAGGCAGACCTTTCAACATCACAGTAATCCAGGTTTATGCACCAATCACCGATGCTGAAGAGGTTGAAATTGACCAGTTCTATGAAGACCTACAACACCTTCTAGAACTGACACCGAATAAAGATGTTCTCATTATAGGGGACTGGAATGCTAAAGTAGTAAGTCAAGAGACAAAAGGAACAACAGGGAAGTTTGGCCTTTGAGTTCAAAACAAAGCAGGGCAAAGGCTAATAGAATTTTGTCAAGAGAACAAGCTGGTCATCACTCTTTTCCAACAACACAAAAGGCGATTCTACACATGGACATCGCCAGATGGGCAATACTGAAATCAGATTGATTATGTTCTCTGCAGCCAGAGACGGAGAAGCTCTATACAATCAGCAAAAACAAGACCTGGAGCTGGTTGTGGCTCTGATCATCAGCTTCTTATAGCAAAATATAAGCTTAAACTGAAGAAAGTAGGAAAAACTACTGGGTAGTCAGGTATAAGCTAAACAAGATCCCTTATGAATACACAGTGGAAGTGAAGAACAGATTTAAGGAACTCGATTTGGTGTACAGAGTGCCTGAAGAACTATGGATGGAGGCTCGTAACATTGTACAGTAGGCAGCAACAAAAACCATCCCATAGAAAAGGGAGAAAGCAAAGTGGCTGTCCAACGAGGACTTACAAACAGCAGAGAAGAGAAGGGAAACAAAATGCAAGGGAGATAGCAAAAGTTACAGAAAATTGAATGCAGACTTCCAAAGAATAGCAATGAGAGACAAGAGGGCCTTCTTAAATGAACAATGCAAAGATATAGAGGAAAAGAATAGAAAAAGGAAAAACCAGAGATCTGTTCAAGAACATTGGAGCTATTAAAAGAACATTTTGAGCAAAGATGGACATGATAAAGGACAAAAATGGTAGGGACCTTACAGAAGCAGAAGACACCAAGAAGAAGTGGCAAGAATACACAGAAGAATTAGACCAGAAAGATCTGGATGTCCCAGAGAACTCAGATAGTGTGGTTGCTGACCTTGAGCCAGACATCCTGGAGA